AAAGACAATACAAACCTCTCCTGCTCCTCCTATCCCGCTCGGTCGGAACGATCGTCGGTCACGCGCACCGTCGTCGTATCGAGGCAAACTTGTCGGCTCTCCGCGAGCATCTGGCTACCCCCCCTGGGTCGGGCCAGATGTGTCGAGACGGAACGATCCATCGGTCGACCGTAACGACGATGAGGGTCTCGTTCCAGGAGACCCGTTTCGACGGACCAGCCTCGGCCGAGTCTGTCCCCTCTGACGAGAGGGCAGGCCCGTCCGAGGATGGGCCGGCGGCGTTGTCTTCGGGATGAGCCGTCAGGGCGGAGGGCGCTGGTCGGGCGGTCGTAGCGATTGACACCGACGGACCTCTCGGCAACCAAGGTCGAGGTCGGTTTTCACGAGCCGCACGTCGAGCCTCGAGGCGCGGCGACAGCGTCGAACGAGTGACTGGGGTCGGAGTGACGGTGGTCGAAGGAGCGACTGGGGTCGGTGGGGATGCCCTCCGGACGGGCACGGGCAAACGAGAGACGAAGCCGGGGGGCACAGGCAGGCGGGCCTGGGGCCGGGACGACGTTGACTCGGCGGAAAACGTCGCGGAACGAACGGGCAGCCGCGAGACGAATCTGGCGGCTGGAGCAGGCAGGGGGGCCTGTGGCCGGGTGGTGGAACGAACGGGGATGCGGGAGACGAAACCCGCGGGCAGAGCAGGCAGGCGGGCCTGCGACCGGGACGACGTGAACGTCGGCGAGCGGACCGGGATGCGGGAGCGGAGAGGGCGGGAGGGGAACGGGAAGCGGCCCTTGCAAGACATTGCAAGTGGGATCTGCTGTGACGGGGCACAGAAAAAGTCGGAAAAAAAGAAGAAAAGGAGAAAAAAAGCGGGATGCGGAAAGGTGAGAGCAGGTAAGGTGGGAGCAGTAAAAAGCGTCTGGGGAGCAGAAAGTAAGGTAAGGGTCAGGGTAAGCGCGCGAGGACCAGTTGGTCTGGGGAGAAGAAAAAAGAGAAGAGAAAGAAAAAGAGCTCGAGGACGGAGGAGAAGGGGTATTATACCTCCCCCGGGGGACGGGGCGCAAGCAGCGAGGAAAGAGGGCGAAATTGCCTAAAGAGGCAGGCTGGAGAGCTCGAGATGAGGTGTGTATGACTTCATAGCAGAGCAGACGGCGTTGTTGTGGAAGGATCACGAGGAGGGAAGGGTACAAAGGAGAAAAGCAGAAGAAGAGGGCGTACGAGGACACCAGCGCGATATGGGGGTCAAAATGAGCATGGAATCGATCCAGGAAGATGCACCGATGAGCTCGTCGTTTTCCAGGATCGAAATAACGCAGTTTGAGCAGAAAATCATGCTGATATCGCTGTCGAGAGTGACAAACAGAGACATTTCCTCGATGTCTGGCACCTTCCCAATGTGGACGCATTGCCGTTTAAGGCAGCAAGGCAGGCATTCGGATGGCGGCCTGAGGGGATGAGAGCAGGGTGGATGGGGATGGAGGTGGCTGGAGAGAGCAGTTGGAATGGTTGATGAGTGAGTGAGAGATGCAGACATCGTTCTGCTTCGTCATTTTCCTCGAAAAGATCGGCCGATGCGCCAAGTTGGCGTCAGGAACCAGGGCTGAGACGAAAGCAGGACAGCCAGCGTACCAGATAGGAAGACGAAAAGGAGGTTTTCTCTCTATTATCAGTCAGTTAGCAGTCGTATTCGAGATATGTGACTGCAGCTGACCATCAAAATCAAAAAGAACAGCAGCGAACTAGTCGAACGCCGCCCTGCGTCGAAGTCCCCGTCCGAGCTGGTCGAGCTCCACGCTGTCAGAACGTGCAGGATCATAATAAACATGCAGGAGACGACAGACTGGCTTTCTTGAATCCAGTTTCAATCTAATTTTGGCCCTTTGGAGTCGTTCGCTGCCACGAGGTCTGGCGTTGGACGTCTCTGCGTCACGCCGCACGGCAGAACGCGTCGATCAAGAGGATTCCGGACCAGAAACTCAAATGTACGGACATTCTAGAGACAATAAGAGTGTTTCCTGGCAGAATAAGGAGTTTGACAACGAGGGAAAAAGGCGACGAGCTGGTCGTGACGCGTGCTCGCAGGGCTGAGATCGCGACGGTAAACACGGATACAGTGCTAAATCCGGTCATAGCAGCAGTTGCCAAGCACACTGAATCGTTAAAAGTCATTTTCTTTTAGTCCAGAGGCGGAATTTACGTTCTACGCGCCGCTGCAGCCAGCAACATGTGCCCTCAGCCTCGCGAGTTCTCGCTTACATAAGCAGAGGCGCTAACTAGTTAGTTAACTAACTAGTAGTTACAGGCAGCAAGCCCTAATTTCTCACGGACCCCTCGTTCCTCTTTTGCCTCAGTAAACAGATGCCTCGCGATCAGATCATCAAAACAATTCACATCTGAACCAGTCCTGTACCAGTCTTTCCATCAGAGATACCCATCATGGCCGCAATGATTAGACCAGAAATGTACACCAAATACCCCTCGCTGCAGAAATTCCAGGACAACAGCGAGAATACCGTCGAGTCCCACGACGGCCGCGAGATCGTCCTGCTGAAGCACATCTACGACCACCCAGCCCTCGACACGCAGCTGCGGGGCTCGCCTGCCGCAATCCTGGCGGCGATGGACGACTTCGCCGCCCAGTAGGACGTCCTGATCAACATCGGCCCGCACAAGGGGAAGATCGTGACGGATCTGATTGCGGGGCACAAGCCCAGGATCCTGGTCGAGCTGGGTGGGTATGTGGGATACTCGGCGATCCTGTTTGCGAGCGCGATGCTGGCGCAGAGTGGTGGTGATGCAGCAGATAAGGATATTCGTCTCTACAGCCTCGAGGCCGACCCCCTCGTCGCGTCCATCGCGATGAATCTCATCGATCTGGCTAGTCTGAGTCATATCGTCAAGGTGGTAGTTGGCCCCGCAGCGCATTCCCTGCGACGGCTGCACGCCGAAGGGACGTTTTCGCGCATCGACATGCTGTTTCTGGACCATGTCGAGGACCTATACGAGCCGGACCTCAAGCTGTGCGAGGAGCTAGGTCTGCTGCACAAGGGCAGTCTGGTCGTGGCCGATAATGTCGTGCTTCCGGGGGCGCCGCAGTATCGGGAGTATGTGCGGCAGAATCCGCGGTTCGAGAGTTGGGGGGTCAAGGGGTTGATTATCCCGGGGGAGGTAGAGGTAGGCACTTTCTTTCTTTGTATATTTCAGCTGCTGACAGTATTGCAGGACGAGTTGGAGATCAGCAGGGTTAAATAAACAATCATGCCATCACGCAGAGAACAATACAGTCGACATAAGCATACGCAGGATACAGCAGTACGATGTGTAGCTAGATCAGGATCAATCATATCATCATCAATGATCATGTTCATAGTATAGTCATTTCTGCGATAATACATGACATATCCACCAGTATTACAGCTGAATACTTCCATTCCTCCAGTCCTCACAAGGCTCAAAAACTGCCAAAGGAATTAAACCGATTCCTCGGCTGAACAGATACAATACAATACAATAGATTAATAGATAGACGGTACTAACACTGAAAAGAATCTAAACCAAATAAATACAGTAGTGTTCTGCTCAATCAGACACGATAGATCTATCTATCTACCTACGTAGTATTCATCGAAGAATCTATCATAAGGAGTAGATACAGCTTATAAGCACATTTCGTCGCGTTCTACTTGACAATAATAGAAATGGCATGTATATTCTCCAATAAAGTAAAGTCCTCGCAGATTAGACGGTAATTAAAAAATTACCTGATGGGCAGATGGAAAAGATGCAATGGTATACCAACGTGGAGCGTTGATTGAGACAGAGTATCCCATCACTGCTAGCTTCATCTCTCAGAAACTTATATATATAGACACAACTCTAGGATCTACTGTCTATTTTTTCAAGCAACCCACCTCTCCACCCCCATTCCCACACCCATCCTCATATTCAGCCACCGATACCTCAACCACAACCCCGTCGCCATCGCCGCACCAACAAACAAACTCACCGCATTAACGGCATGACCCAACTGAAACCGCGGCGCCTGGTCATTTCTATAGATCCAGACGCCAATGATCTGGCCGGGCCCCGTGAAGGCGATGTTCAGGCCCGAGGCGAGCGAGGCGGCGGTCGTGGTACGCACGTTGTCTGAGACCCAGGCGCAGAGAGGCGGGAGGCCGCCGAAGACGGAGCAGGTGGCGAGGACGAGCATGGCGTAGCGGAGGTGGAGGGAGGGGGAAGGGATGGAGGCTAGACAGTCAGTTTTCAATTAATAATTAAGGAAAAGAGACTCACCAGCAATCGTAAAAGCTACACCCCCAAAGACAAAACAGCCAGCAATTATCGGCCCACGACACGCATATCGATCAGACAACAGTGCTAGCACGAGCGTAAAGACATAGGCACAGGCATACGGCGGGATGGTGAACAGCTGCGCATCGAGCCCGCTATATCCCAGATCCTGGACGATAGTGGGCGCAAACAGGGACAGCGAGGAGACGCCGATGCCGAGCAGGAGATAGGTGAAGTAGTGCACCCAGAGGCGGGCTTGCATCAGCGTGTCTTTGGCGTCGGTCCAATTGAGGTGGTCGTGTCTAACCCTCGTCAGTGGAATTTTATATACATGTGCAATACGGATTGCTGGGATTTCTGCTCACCCCTTGGACACATTCTCTCCAAACGAAGCTAGCAGGATCTCCTTCTCCTCGCTGGACAGCCACGTCGCTGTTTCCGGGTACCGCGGCAGGACGAGCAGGATCAGCACGGCGCAGACGATGCACGGGCATCCCTCGAGGATGAACAGCCATCGCCAGGCCTGCAGGCGGCCAGCGTCGTTCATATGGCCAACGCCGTAGGCAATAGCACCTGTCACAACAGTCAGTCAGAAGCCTGTCATCAGATGGCAATCAGAGTCAATCAGCAGCTCACCTCCAAACGCACCGGCTAGCGTCGCACTGCACAGAAACACAGCAATCCGACTAGCTCGCTCTCGCGGGCCATACCAGAAGCTGAGGTAGAAGATCATTCCGGGAAAAACGCCCGCCTCGGCCATACCGAGCAGGAACCGCAGCGCCATGACAGTCTGGGGGTTTTGCGCGCCTCCGAGGCCGGCGCAGAGGGCGCCAAAGGAGGCGACGAGGAAGGCGAGCCATCTGCAGAGCATTGACAGTAAGCAAGACATCCCAGTCTGCTGTACTATCTAAGGGGGGGTACTCACATCGGCGGCGAAAACACCTTCATGGCAAGGTTACTCGGGGCTTCGAGCAGCGAGTAAGCGACGAGAAACAGCATCAGCGCCACGCGGTACTGGTACTCTGTCAAGCCGGTGGCGTGGAGGAGGTCATCATTCGTGTTAGAGTTGAGGACCTCCGCGTTGCCTGCAGAAGAAACTGTCAGTGCTGTTTGTTATAGTCAATGACAAATTGTTATTAACATACCGATATTCGACCGATCGAGATAGCAGAGCAGATAGATTAGCGCGACCATGGGTAAGATGCGGATGTCGATTTTGCGGTAGATTCTGCAGCATTTTCTCCTCTGTCAGTCATCTACGCAAATAAAAAAAAATAGAAAAGTACAGGGGAAAACTGACCGCGCAAGCTGGTCTTTCTTATCGACATTGTCGTGGAGAGAATGCTGCTGCGAAGGATTGATCTGGGATAGAGCCTTTTCAACATCTGGGTCCGACAATGGTGAGACTGTCATATCGATTGAACACCCTGCCCATACAAATATGTCTACAATATAGACTTGCAGAGCAAGTGGTAGACAAGTAAAGTGATAAATAATAATAGAGTGCGGAGAAATCGTGGAGATCAGATTATGATCGTCGTGTCATGTGCGGGGCTCTGCAGGGGTAACTGTCAAGGATGTCCTAGTTTAATGACAATTAATAGCATTTGAAACTCGCAAAGACGATCGCAGTGCAAACCGGCCAAGTGACTCTGCATCTAAAGTATAATATTCTGCTTCTTCAATAATCTAGATCCTTTCATAGCTAAGCGGATGGACTGCTTATCTACCTCCTTTTGTGGACAGAGAATTCGTACAGAGAGAGACTGTTACTTTTATTCCATCGGCTACTTGCATGAAGAAAAGCCCCTTTGGGTAAGGCGTGCAGAATAGCTAACTGACTATTCATGGATAAGAGTTACCCGACTAGGAAAGCTATTCCGTCGTGTCGACAAGCACCCTGTCGACTGCTAGTACAACACGACTATGCAGGCATCAGGCCCATCCTGGTCAACTTTTCCACTGCCAATGGACGCAGTCTAGCCAGATCTAGCTGCCACTGGTCGTTCAGATTTCTCCCCGGGAAATTAACAGCCGTGCCAAAGATCTGGCCTCGGGTGATGGTGACAGTTTATGCTGCACCTCCAGCAGGAAGTGGAAATATTTGCTATCCTGAGTTGTCAGTCCTTGATTGTGATAGTCATGGGTAAAGGTTACTTACCTCTGTTTGTCGAAGATTGGCATTTCCAAGAGCATCTCGATCCCATACCTGAAGATCTCCTCTCACTCTGCCACCACGTAATTTTCGCCAGTGGAAAATGAGAACGAGCTGCACTTCTGGCGCACCGCCTCTCATCCACAAGTCACTGTCTTGATTGAGTTGAGGCCAACGCTCACTCCAGCCACTTTCGACCACGATTCGTGGAAGATTTGCGGTATCAACTCGGCAGTACCAGTCTGGTGTTTTCGAAGACGCTGCGTATGGTTCTTGGAGACAGCTTTCGAACGCTAATCGAATTAGTAGGGCAGATAGAAGAGATGTATGTGGACATACTTAGGCCATTTGAGATTTCCAAGGCATCAGACTCCGCCAGTGTTAACCAATTTGATACGAGCATGCGATTGAATTCCATTGTTAACCATCTTGTATGACATTCGTGGATCTCGGTGGGCATAATGTGGACTCGTAGGATGCGGGTCACAGAGCTGTAATGAATGCTAAGATAACGAGTTAGCAGAAGTATTTTTTTTTCTTTTCTCACATACCTCGGACGGACTCGTTCCACTTCGGGGTCTCTGTCTAAGGAATATGCAACCTCAGAGCCAACAGACGGATCGACATTCTCGTAGATGGGCTCCTGGTACCCCGTAGCTGTAAGGATGGTGTGACGAATCCCATTAAATAGCTGTTGTGCTGATGGTGGTGGTGCTTCCGTGCTGTTGCTCCTCAGCTGTCGCGGAGAGGCAGCGGGAGTCGACATGTTGGGTAGAGGAGACGGTGTGATGCTGAAAATTAGAATTTATAGAGAATGTGGTGGATAGGCAGATAGTGAAGTGAAAGAAAGTGGAAAGCGAATTGACGATGCTGCCTGGAATACTTACACCTTTCACTACTTACTTCTAGCCGAGTCTAAGCAATCACTCAACTCCCACGAAGCAACATGGTCTTCCATTCACTCGAGTCCAGTCATCCTCTTTCTTAGTTTTTCCGGTTACTCTTAGCAAAACTCGATACAACTCCTGCATTTAATTCACAGGCTACTTTTTATTCTGGGTGAACTGTCTTAAAACAAGAGCTTTATGACAAACATCAGGAGGATATTAGATAATTGACATCCTGCTGTCAAGATATGGAGACACGTAAAATCAGAGGTGGATTAGGCTCTGCGGGCTCTGTAGTAGTATATTTCTACTGTAGATACACCTTATCTTATATCATGGACAATCGAAACCCCCCCCCCCCTCCCTTTTTCATCCTCTTAGTATCCCAAATAATTCTGCACCATATTTTAGCCATTTCTAGAAATTATAGTTAGAAATAAATAATACTTGCTAACTAATTTACTAAGCTTCCTTTTTAGTATATAATCTATATAATCATCTAATAGAGTTCAACCATCCACTACAGGCTGAATTTGAAAGTGGCTGCGAGCTATTCTTATAGTGCTCTGTCAGAGACTTGAATAATAGCACTCGCTAGCTGGCTGGAATGCATTCAAGCTCAGTTGCATAATCGCCATGGAATCCAAACTAAAGCTTTACACTTTCCCTCCAAACGAGCTGGCATATGTGTCTGTACCCTCTGATCCAGAGGACTAGTTTATTATGGCTAGCCCAAGTCTCAAGGCAGTAACTATAAGTTGTCACAATTCTCTCCCTGGCCAGGCCTTGCAGATACGTGTGATTATGGACAGGAAAATGAAACTGGTATATAGAGAACATGCTTCCTACCTAGGTATGCACATGTACCTAGTGCTACCGTATATTATGGTTGTACGTAGGTAAAGATACGTTGTATCTTGTTGTATAGAGAGTAGATATCACACCACCTAAAACGAAAAATCACTCAGTTCATAGACAACCTTCTTCAAGCCTCTTACTTGTACCTCCGATCCTTATACCCGGCAATCAGCTCCACCGAGCCATCCGCCTCCCTCTTCTCCTCATACAGATGCGGATTCAGCTGCATACGCTGCTTAGCCCTGACCCACTCGGCCATAGTGACGGGCTTGTCGAAACGCGGCTTGACACCTGCCTTCTGCAGCACAGGCGAGTCCGAGATAGGCACGAGGAGGGTGTCCGAATGCGCGCGCGCAAAATACAGCAACCCCGTGCGGTCGTACTGCCACTGGTCGCGCGGGGGCGCCACGACGCGATGGATCGAGCTCTTCAGATAGCCGCCCGTCAGATGAGACAGCGTGTCGGCCAGGTTGACGGTGATGGTTCCCGGCTGCGCGGCGACGTACGTCCAGCGGCCATCCTCGCCCAGGATCTGCAGGCCTGCGACGGGCTGGCGGAACAGCAGCGTCAGCGTGCCCAGGTCCGTGTGGCCCCCTGTCTGGCCGTACTCGCTCAGCGCGTGCTCCTCGGGCGTGCGCTTGTTGTACTTCATGTAGCGGAAGTGGTCCTCGCTGCGCTTCTCGTACGTGTGCTGCTTGACGAGGTAGTCCTCGTCAGGCAGCTGGAGGATGATAGCGAAGAGCTTGAGCAGCGGCAGCACGACGTTGGCGTGCAGGTGCTTGGCGAACGCCTCGATCTCCGGCAGATGGGCTTTCAGCAGCGGCGGATGGTCGTATTTCCCGCGAAAGTCGTCGGTGAACTTGGCGAAGTTGTACATCTCGATGTTGTCGCGGATGGCGCCCGCCTTGCCCCGGCCTGCGCGGCGGTAGCCGTTGTAGTCGGCGTTGGCGTAGTCAACCTCGTACTTAACCTTCTCTTCCAGCGGCAGGTCGAAGAAGTTGCGCGCCAGCGTGAACTGCCGGTCGATCTGCTCCTGCGTGAGGCCGAAGTTTTTCACGTAGAAGAAGCCGACGTGGTGGACGGCGTGCGAGAGCTGGTCCGCCAGACGCTGCTTGCCGCCGGGACGGTGGAAGTCGTCCAGGTCGAGGGTGACGAGTTCGGCCCAGGGGAGGTTTTCTTTGGTTTCGGGGGGGTGGACGTAGGGCTTTAGGTTGGCGAAGTCGTAGGGGTTGTCAGAGATCTTAGACGAGCCATGCTGGACAGACGAGCTGGCGCCGTCTGGGACGGGCTTAGCACGTTCTGCGAGAGTGGCGGACATGGATAGACTATCGAATGATGCAGAGTGTATAGAATCTTCAGAAGATATCAATCAGCAAGAACACCTACAGGAAACCTACATACAGGACACCTATACAGAACACCTATATATACTTCTTCGCAGCAGTCCAATATCATTATAAAATAGATAATTACCCCTCACCGGCATCACCCCACAGATAACTAACATTAGACAAGTTCCATCCGCATGCGCAGACACGATAGGCGTGAGGATGGATCACCTCATTCTAGGGCTGGATTGGCAATTTGGGCGACGGTGGTGATTCGTCGGCGAGCCGGTACAATCAATATACACCAGTAGATAGATATCAATCAGCGACACAACACAGAGGAATCTAGATCTCTCCTAAATAAATGCTCATGACAGAGTAATCGTAGATAAACTACCTCCATCCATCCATCCAACCAGTCTGTATCTAAATCTGTATCTTTACTGAGCCTGGTTCCTGGTCCCACAAAAATGACCACACTCCTTTGTCACCCATGTAAACCAAGCCTAAGAAGGCTACATACAGACAAGTCACAGACTACACGCGACTAGACTAGAGTCTGCTTAGTCGTACTTAATATACAATATACAAGTAGAATGAACAGAATGACTAATAGGTAAACTTGACAAATAAATAAATATATTGAATTAAATTGAATTGGATTTGATTGTATATTGAATTGTTCAATCCAGCTCATTGGTGAGTAGTATACTCTATCCTGTGAAGGACAATACTAACAAACGAACAAACAAACGAACGAACGAACAGACTAGCTAATCATTCATTCGCCCTATTATTTTATTCGTGATAGTATTTACTTACTACATGTACTATATATACGTAGTAGTATGCATAAAACTAGAATAATCGTAATATATATATTAATTATATCATAGTAAAGAATAAAACAGTCATAACATTATATTTATATTTATATTGATATTACATCATATTAAAAAATAATAAAATAAAAAACCAAGACAAAAATGCTAATTACCTAGGTAAGCAATAAGAACTAGAGGGAGAGATGAGGGTGAAAACAAATGAATCAAATGAATTCATCCTTCTTTTTTTTAAAAAAAACAATAAAAAAGAAAAACAAGGACAAGACTAATACTAAGCATGGTAACTAGGTACTATTTCATACATCCTTCCTTACTTCCAGTTCCTTCTCACTCATCATAGCCTGTAGGTATAATAAACAAAATAAAAAAGAAAGAAAGAGATGATGAAAAGATGAAAAATATGTACTTAGTTAGCAAACTACTCATCCCAAAACAATAAATAAAAAAAAATCAATCAATTAATTCAATCAACTAATCAAATTGCACCAACTATGATTCCAATTATTCATTAATACCTATCTGTGTCTGTATACTTCCTATCCATTCATTAATTAATCAATTAACTCCAAAAAAGTCAGAGACCGATCAATCGCTCAATCAATCAATCAATCAATCCCTCAACAATGACATCCATATCTGATAGAATGGAATGGAATGGAATCTTAAGAATCTTATCTGCAGAACAATCAACAAATCAATCAATCCACCGCCGCCCAACGAGATGTAATGTAATGTATCGTACATCGAAAGAAAAAAATCAAATCAAATCGGATCAGATAGAATGTCCAACCAACGCTGTACAAGACAAAAAAAAGAACAACACACTACAACGAAATTAGCTAGTTCATGCACAAGGTCCGAGAACAAAAACCAGAAGAAACAGACAACTTCTTTTTAGGTCCAAGGAAATTCGTCACGTAGATGATAGTCAGTTCAGTTAAACGTCGACTAATCGGAATCGCTCGACTGGTCGACCAGCTCCGCCGTACTGCCCGTGATAACTGGCCCGTCGGCCGCTTCGTGGATGCTCGCCCCCGCCCGGTGCTGGCTCACATACCCCATACCCGACGGCCGCCCCTGCTCGCTGACCGTCCGGTGCACCGTCGACGTCGTCGAGTCTACCGATCCCGCCCGTTTACTGTCCGTGTCGCTTGCCGTGAAAGGCAGTCGTCCCGGCTGAGAGCTCGACGGACGTAGATGACCGGAGCTGCTCTCGTCCGGCGGAGACCCCTGGATGGCTTCCAGATTCTGCTCCCCCTCCGACGGCTGCCGCTGAGAGGTCTTGCGAGACACCGTCGGCGCATGCGTGCTGCTTCGCGATCCCAGCCGGCTTGGAAGCTCGATCGCGTCTCCCGCGTCGATCTGAGGGAGCTGCGGCATTTCATCTGCTTTCTCCTCTTCATCCCCCTCGTCCGGTTTCCGTTCCTCCCCTTCCGAATCATGATACGATGACATCGTCGCTCCGGACACCTGTCGTGAATGCCCGCCGGTAGCAGGCCCCGGCGAACCCGGGTCGTCTCGATACGGCTCGTGATACCCCTCCCCCTCGGATGGGAACAGTCCCGGCGGAGGTGCTCGCGTGCTTCGAACCACTTCGAATCCTTTGGTTTTCTCCTTCGTCTTCCCTCCCAGCAGCCTTCGGAACCAGCTGGTCGCGGATGAGACCGGCCCCGTGGGATCGGCCGGTCCGGTCTTGAGTTTGCGAGTTCCTGTGTGAGAGAGCGCCGGCCCCCGGACCCGATAGTAAAAGTCGACCTCCCGCACGGCATAATCATGCCGCATCGGCCGACCGTCGTCAAAGTTGTCGTCCCGGGAGCTGCCCAGATAGGCAGGAACAGGGTGGCCGGCAGAACTTTCGCCAGTGGTGTCTTCAGTCTCACCACCCTGCCCGTCCTTTCGACGCGTGCTGTCCATCGACGAAGACGTCCTCGTCCTTCCCCGCGGTCGTGGAGGCCGGTAATAGGGGTCGTATGCTTCCGTTGGTTTGAACCCAATCATCGAGCCATTCTTGGGGGTGCCGCTGGCCATGGGCTGATATCCGGCAGGATGGGAAAAGCCACTGCCGGCGAGAGTGGTCGGCGTGTAGACGCCGCTGCTGTTCGCTCGGCTATGCGTCCGACCATGCGCACTCACCCCGTCAAACGCCATGCTGGCTCGGCCATCAACTCCGGGACGATTCAACAGCATCGCAGAGCTCCCCGACAGACTTCTTGCCCTGGATCCGCCAAATTGCGTCGACCGGTCGTCCATGTGGGCAAGCATGGCAGCGTCCGAAGCCATGCTCTGGCGAGAAACGTGGCCACTTCTGGGATGGCGGCGAGAGAGTTGCCGCGCACCAAATACCTGGGTATATTAGCAGGTTGTTCCAGTAGTAAAAGAAAAAAAATACATACCTTGGTGAGACCACCACGAGTCGCCACCCCCTCAATACCTCCTGCCCCTGCAAGACGTGCAATAACCTCAATCAACGTCTGGAGCGCATTCAAAAAGAACCCAAAGACAAGAAGCATGGCATGGATGAGAAGAATCACATAACCAATCCACCCCCTCGTCTCCTCCGAAATACCCAGGGACGGAACAAACGCCACGCTCAGCAGCACCACCAGAAATCGCACAATCGCAAAAAGAGCCTGGTAGAGATTCATCGACGTCGCAGACGGATACGGTCGGAACGCAGCCAGGGTCAGCACAAGTACCACTTCGCAGATGGCCAGGAGGACCAGCTGCGCGATGCCGGACGGCTGCAAGGCCCCAATGGCGATGCCCCGAAGGAAGGTGATGAACATGGGCACCATCGCGAACGCCGCCGCATCGTCACAGTACGTGTTGTACAGCGGACCGTATAGGAGAACCGTCGAGAGATCATCGTACATGTACGACCGCGGCCGCGTCGTCACAATCAGACGGATCACCCAGCAGGCAAAGGCCACCAACCCCAGGATCAAGACCACAGCTAGGGCCACCGAGTAGGCCGGAGAGTCTGCCGCCACGACGAGCTGGAACATCGACAACGATATGATGGGGAGCAACAGAAAGTTGAAGACGATCCGGATGACGTTGCCCATCGTAAACGGCATGTTTTTCGCGCGCAGATCCTCCTCCGGCACATGGGCCAGCTGATGATGGATCCACCGCATGCCAAAGGCGACTTGGGTCAACGCCGTCACGCCAACAACAATCGCAAGCAGCCAGATCACCATTCCGGGCCAGATGTCCTGGACGGCCGTCAACCCCACGTACTGGCTGTACCGATCCAGGCCATAGGTGGCGTTCACCACGTAGACACCATCGACGACGGGGTTCTTGCCGCTGTTGGCGCTGACAAAGCTCTGGTTGAACATCAGCGCCGACCAGGCCCCCTGGGCCACGACGGGTTGGTAGTATCCGGGATAGTTCAGGCTCAACGCTCCAGTCAAGGCGACGAACTGGATGTACTGAAGGCAATCAGCGAAGCCCGGTGTCACCAGCCGGAGGAGATCCTCGTCGCGGCCATAATTGCTCGTCCAACGGAACGGGTCCGTCGATCCCCAGGGACTGTAGATGGCGGCCAGGATGTTCGCGACCGCGACAAAGACCAGGATCAAGAGGGGCAGGAAGCCCACCAGACCGCGCAGAGTGTCGCCCAGATCGGGCGTGATGATGGCAGAGACACAGGCCAGGTCGGCATTGGACGCATCTCCGGTCCGGACGCGCAAGGTTGGCACCAGACTCATGAACTGATACGACGATTCGAGGTCATGTTCGATGGAAAAGGCCCGCAGCTGGGATGGATCGCTCCTAGATTGTTATTGTGTTAGCAACCAACATGAACGGGGGATGATGATGGTGGCAGAAAACGTACGCATTGGCATAAAAGACCGGACCCAACGGGCACTCTCCCTGCGTGACAGACAGGCAGAACCTCGACGCATTGTAATAGGGCCTAAAGCTGAGCACATTCAAGGAGGTAAACAGAGTGGAATAGCGGTTGTTCGACTCGCTCAGGTCGGTGATCTTGCCGACGGTGTCGTTGGGATTGGACCATTGCGGCGAATCAGGAGGGGGATAAGGCCCCTGCGAAGCAAGGCCGGTGACGTTTCCGTAGACGGTGATATTGAGGGGATTGGGGCCGGCAGACGCAGTGTAGTTGACGGAAAAGAACAGCGGCACAAACTGTAGCAGATCCGAGTGGATGATGTTGTCCTCGAGACAGTTATCGAAGTTGATGAAAGCGGCGTCTGCGGGCGAGAGAAGGGTTATCAGGAGCAACAAGACGATGGAATACATCGTCGAGAAACCTCTCCATCGGCGACGGCGTCGACTCCCTGGCACAGTCGAGCTGGACGAGCCGATCCCATGTCTGTCTGCCTTGAATTGAGCAAGAGCCGATTGTCCCACGCAGCGTCGCGGACGATCCTCCCATCGCGTGTCACTGCCCGCATCCATCACGACCATGGGAGCGGATGCGAAGACCTCGACGAGGTCTGCCCCTCGTGCACTCCACGATGTCGACAGCAATCCCCGCGTTTCTCGACGGTTCGAATGGATTCGATCTCTCGGCTCGATCGACGGGGCTCGTGATCGGGACGGGACGCAGTCGTCAGCGCGGTCTGAAGCTCCGTCCGTCGCTCTCGTCGCCAGTAAACGCCAAAGCTGGGCGGGCTCGCCTCGGATCAGGGGACGCAAGACATCACGGAGGAGCACGAACGGAAGAGGCTGTTGCCAGCGGCGGCAAACGGAGGAGCACGGGTGGCGGGGAGAAGGAGACAGGTAGCGCAGGAGAGACAGAGTGTAAGGAAGCAACGACAAAATCCAAGCGAGCAGAGAAACACACAGTAAAGGAGCAAAACAAATCACGGCGAGCTAGCAGGCGGGCTGTCTCGGCTCTCGTCTCTTCTCTGTCGTCGACCGTCGGTTCCGCAGCTTTTCGGGTCGGGCCTGGTGGAGTCGGGCTGGGCGTGGCTGAGGCCGAGCTCTGAGCTATACTTGGAAACCGCTAAAGTCACCAAGTCAGCGACCAGAAAGCTGTGCTGCCTGCAAGAGGGCAGTCGACTGTGTCACCTGCGACGCGTAGACAACGGAGCTGGCCATTCGCTGCGCTGCAGTGCTCGATGCATTATCATGCTGGCGTCCGGCTGGTTGGACCTCCAGCAAGCCTGTCTCACCGCATGGATAACTCGATCGTGCTTGGTATTAGCCAGCTATTAGCTAGATGTCTGTCGACTGTATGCAAGGCCTGCTATCTGCTGCACCGCCCCAGCAAGCAGACCGCATTTTCTCGTGTTTCTCGACTGATACGAGGACGCGTACTGTGCAGCGGCCTGAGTCGATCTGCACCAGCCACAGCCAGGCTGCCGGTGGCTGAGACAGTCGCGCGCCGCTCCACTGCATGTCAACAAAAAGGATATTAGGAAATCAGATCATTTTATCTAGAAACCGTTCTCGTTTAAAGAGTGTAATCTGTATAATACATGACTATTTTTATGGGTAAAGTCAGTCCAAATTTCTTAAGCAATTCGTTGACATTAATTTCTATTACACAAAAATAATGTAGGATATTCCCTTTATTTATAAGAATGATTTTCTATAAATGACGAGAATTATCATTTAATTAATTATTTTAATTGACAAACTTTTCGAAAAAAATATTCTAGTCAAGTTTATAGTCAAGAATCCTTTATGATTATAGTTAATTTAATCAAAAAGTTTACTGTTTTTACAGTTATGCAGTTCTGAAATTATCTACACGTATGGTTACAACCCACTATCGTATGGAGTAGAGAAGATGATTAGTGATTTTTTTTTGCTGCAGACGGCTGTATCTACAGTGCCTGATAGATAAATAATCATCCTATTTCCTCGACTTTCAGATAATTCATCGAAGACCTGGTTAAGCGACCAGGAGGGACATCTGGCTTTCTTTCTTCTTTCTTCTTTCTTTCCTCCTATACATTTACGTATACTTATATACTCTGTAGAGCTGTTTCTGGATGAGCAGGACGGCTCTGTTCATTGTTCTGCGGTATCAGCTACAGCTGTAGCTAGTCTTTGGACAGAACACGAACAGGACTTGGATTGATTGATGATTGATTCTTCGAGAAGCATGGATGCCGTATATGATTAATTGATTTGAGATAAAAGAGATCGAAAGGGAAAAAAGAGCGAGGACAGAGATCGTATGTGTCGTGGTGCGTATCTTCAGGGCGGGGTATATGGGCATCCCTTAGTCGTCCATGGTCGATCACGTGTATGTAGGTAGACGGAAGGTCGTTCCTCTTCTCTCAAGCATCTCCGATACTGAAGGAATATGCCATTGTCTTGTTACAGTATTGACGGAGTATGGGAGGGAGATTTGTGCTGGTAATGACAATGACATGATAATCCATGGCTGGACAGGAATACATACCTGGTAATTAGAATATATTCTATATCTAGAACTCTTCAGCCATTCATTTTGATGTCGGCAATCAACACAACAAGTCATATAGTTAGTTTCTCATGCATCACCATTAACCTACCTATTCAGTCGAAATTCCTATCACTATGTTAAGAATAAAAAGGATATGATCAGAGCAGGCCTGAGTGCAAATATAGATACTGTGTGCCAGTTGGAATATTATTCAATCAGAGGGTTATCGCGGGGCACAGCTCACGTGCAGCGGACAGCTATTACCGCTGGTTCTTGGCTCGTCGCCAAGCTTCGCTGGACCTCAATCATTCTTCTATTAATTTTATCGACCAGCCAATCAATCATTAATCCTGACAGAGAGCACAGAATAACCTCCTTCTTGAATTGGATCTACCGAGTGCACGTTATATTGCATGACGGACTGCGTGGAATGTGGTCTTGGAGGAGTCCTACAATCCTACTCCATGCGTACGGTAGGAAATAATTATCGGGAGTTCGCTGCCGCCTTCATACTCTGCTCGAGTGATCACTCTGCTCCGTGTCGGAGGGATAACTGGCTCAAGATGACGAGTTCAGGCTGATCACTTTCTCTTCTAATTAGTCGCGAGATTGCTTCTAGTGGGATCCGCCGATCTGTGCGATGCCGATCGACCAGAAGGTAATACAGGAACCGCAATTGCTCTGGGAATCAGATATTGTCAGCATCACCACGATCATCATGACGACACGAGGATAACGGGACTGTTTGATTGAAGTGCATTTCGATGTATAAGTCGAAGTCGAAGTATAAGTTCTTAGAGTACTCCGTACGGAGTATTCCAACACTTCTTCCTCCGGCCGTCTGATGGAACTGCTAATTAATGCTAACGCAATGTAATTTGTGCTGTGGAGCCAGGCGGAACCAAGCCACGGTGACGTAGGGCGCCTCCACGTTCCATTCTTGGTCAGGGACGAGCACTCTGTACAGAGCACATGGGAATGCTTTGGCGATGACATCCTGCAGAGCATGGTCCAGGTCAGTATCTCAGCCAGTTCGTGAGCTGCTGTCGGCTTCTCGAAGGGAAAACATACCAACACTTCTCGACTGGCCAGGGACGCAGCAGGAACAGGCAGCCTGTGAGGCGGGGAGAGTTCTCCGCATGCCACGGCCCAATCAGGAGCACGCAGGCTGCGCATGGCTGGAAACGTCAACGACGGTGCCAGCAACACTGGCAGCATCAAGAATGGATCCGCCAGCTGCTCCGTTATCTGCAATCTCCTGCGGCGGCGGGCGTGGGGCGGCGTCTCGCGGGATGGCCGTGCGAGGCTTAGGCTGGTTTCAGATGGGCGTCGACGGTGACACGTACGCCGTATCCTGCTCCAGCGGTGGACCAGAGGCGTCCCCGATCATAATCCGCGGGTCGAGAGTCAAATTGCAGTGCCATCACCAGCATCCTGTCGATGAAGCGAGTCGTTGATGCCTTGAGAAGTTGAGCTGCCTGCTTCCTGCTGGCAAGGCAAGACTGCGTGGTCAAGGAACCGCGAGCGGCCTGCCAATCACAGCGCGTGCCCTCGCGATAACTCCGCACAGATCACTCTTCCCGTCTACTATCTCAGGTACGGATAAGGGCCTCCATCTAAATGCAGTTACTACTCTGTACTCTTGTTGCTTAAGCTGCTCTGGGCTGGTCTGCCAGATCAGTCACTTCCCTCTCGCAGCACCTTCACCATCTCCTCCTGCACTGCTTCTTTCCTTTTCTTTGTGTGCACCCCTGCTGCGTGGTTTGACGCGAGGAATGACCTGCTCACTTCGCTTTCCCAGATCGCGGCTCGCTAATACTCCACCTGACTCTGTTGAATGGATCTCCCCGACAAGAGACCCCGTCAGTCGCGTTATTAGCCTTCAGATCGATCCTCCTCGCCCTTCATTTCTGTCCTTCCGCCTCCTCCCCTCTATCCCTCCGACACTCGTCTTCCCCGTAGCCGCCTCCGACCCCGCCGTCCTCGCTTCTTTTATCGTCACGCCGGCGCCCCTGTCGATCCAATCGACCGCTCCCCAGTATTAGTGCCAAGGCAGGCGGGATCCGACCAACAACTCTGCTCGCCCCTGACAGTCTTCCGTCCTGCTTGGAGAACACTTCGACGAGTGTTGTTTGCGATGGTCAGCGCGATCGTGGCATTGCTGTTGGTTTGAGGAAGCTGCTGTCTGCACACGGTCGACATGGCGGGAGAGGACCCCTTTGCCTTCCTGGCGACGGCGGAACCGCCCAAGCCGCTGAAGAAATCCAACTGGCGGGAGAAGCTCTTTTCCAAGGATCGAGACGCGAAGCAGAGCGCCCAGGAGAGAACTGAGAAACAGCTGGACGACTTCCTCGGCCCTACGCGCTCGAAGCCTCCGAACCAGGAGCCAACGCTGCCCCAGATCGATAATGTCCCTCCACCGGAACCGCGTCCCTTTTCCTCGACGCCCCCTACCGGTGAGACGCAGGGCATCCGAGTCGTGAGTCCGACCAAGAAACCTCGCCGAAAGGGGTTGCGCGTCACCTTCAGCGACCGCGCGCCTGAGATCATCGGAGAAGGCGGCGATGAATCAGAGGAGCCGACGGTGGAAATATTCCGGAGGCGCGACCAGCCTCATGGTCTCGACAATCGTCGTCCTACGTTACCACAGCTACACATTGACACTTCTTTCCAGGACGACCAGGCAGAGCCGCAGGAACAGACAGAAGTACAGCGGACGCCGTTGCTCATCAACACACAAGATGCGGACTTCCTGATGGCCTTGAATGCGGGTGAAAGGGGGTCTAGGTTGTCTTTCCGTGCTTCTCCCGATTCCAATTCGTTCGCGAAACGTATCCATGCCCGAATGCAGGCCGAAGAGGCTCGCGCACTGCAGCGTCGCTACGAGGAGGACCTAATGTCCCCGACCAGTCCAGACGATGAGCGCCAGCAGCGTCACGAGACTCTCCCTCTGCGTCCTTCGATTTCATCTCAACAACCCCATGCATCTCCACAGCCATCAGGCCGTGATAGCGATAGAAAGTCTGCCAGCGCGTCTCTTCGCACGAGGCCGGCCCCGGCAGTCCAAGATCAGGTCAAGTCTCTCCGGCAGGAACCGGATGAGGTCCCGTCTGCCGGCAGATCGTCGCACAGCTTGTCACCCCCCTCCCACGAGCGGAAACCCAGTATTCCGACCGGAGAGTCTCAGCCAGTCCCCCCCAGCCACGATACCAGAGAAGTTTCCCCGAGTCGCGAACCCCGCTCGGCTCCTAAAATGTCTTTACGCTCGGTTGCCAATGCAGTGGGCGATGGCGCCTACATAGAATTCACCAACTATGTCGAGCGATACAGCAGTCTGTTCCGACTGGCCGCAGAAAGCGTCAAACCGCTGACGGAGACCTCGTTCTCCGAATGGATCAGGGCCGCGACATGGTGGTTTCTGAGGGGTCGATCCAACCTCGAAGCCGCGGTCCGGTCTGGCCGGTCAGCTGAAGCGGCCGGGGTGCAACCACCGTCTGCAGCAGCCCAACAGGCCGTCATTGACCTGGGCAAGGCGTGGTGGATTACCCAGCACGTCGTTCCCCAGCATGCAGAACTGGCCCGTTATGGGAAACTGGCTATGGAGGCCCTCCTAGCCGTCCTGAATACCGCGGGCGATCAGCGGCTGGCCGGGTTGGTGACTCTGCATCAAAAGATTCTCAGTCATCTCCGCGCATTGACGATGTCGATGAAACGGAACAAGGTTTTGTCCGCCGTGGCATCGACCGCAGATGGCATTGACCGTTCGGTGGATACGAGTATTTGGTTAAAGTATCCCCTCTTCGCAGCCGACGTCACGGCCGTGCTGTCGGGAGCTGCGCGGCGAACGGTGGTGGCTGGTCCTTCTGCCAACTGGGTTAATACTCCCGATCTGATGCTCTTGGGCGACACGAGTCGGTTCTTCAGCTACGGCACCATGTTTGTGGACGTCTCCGTCAGCGCGGGCGACGACGACGACTCGCCACCATACGTCCCCTGCGTCCTGTCGATTATGCGGGATCGCACGGATTGGTATGTGATGACGGCGATCGCCAGTCAGAGCGAGCTGATCAACGTTACGATTCAATCCGATCGGAGTCAGGGACCGACCTGGGACGACGTGGACTGGGAGGTCAAGACGAGCACGATGCGTGTCAGGCTCCCCCGAGGATTTCAGCTGGATGTCGTATTTCAGGAGCAGGACTTCAAAATTATCTGGAACATCGTCAAGTACACGCTTAAGACCGAGGCGAGCATGCAACCGGAGGCCGACGAGACCCTGGTTTTCGAGGATACGCTTAAAGTCTTCCAGTACATGGACCCGGGCACGCCCAAGGCGTTTCCCGCCGAACCTTCACAGCGATGCCGCGTTCGCTTGTTCGAAAAGTCAGCGACTGTGACTGAAGGGACGGGACCCCGCAAAGCCCATCGCGGCTTCCGGCTGACCGTTGTCACCAGCCCCAAGGTGAAGACGCTGAGCAGCGTCCGCCACACGCTTGGAAACGGAGCGCCTATTGTCTTTGGCTATCTCCGGGGTGAAGACGGCGCCCCGGCGCTGCTGCTCAATGTCAAAGAGGAGGGGAGAAACCGATCCATGGTGCTGACCTTTGATGAACTCGAGCGCCGAACCACCATGCATTCGCTCCTGGTGGGCATGCTCGCGAGCGACCGAGAATTCACGAGCCCTGATATTCCTTTCCGATCCTTTTCTATCGAGCAACCGCCAGAGGCAGCCAGTCCGGGGATCACCCATCTGCAGTTTGCTGCCGGGTCGGTGTCCGTGATCGACCTGGAACCGGCCTATGTGGAACAACACGGCTATGCTCCTCAGATCTTGTCAGAGCACCTGCGAGCGTTGGTGTCCACCGACTGGGGCACCGTCACGGACCGGATGAATCTGGGTAAGACTGAACGGACCGGCCTTTGTCGTTTCTGTCTAACTAATTGTGTAGGGCCGGGAGAGATGAAGATCGCGTTGGACGTCAACAAGAATACCGTCTTCTATATGCTGCGGTCTGGTCAGGAAGATCTGACCGTGTCGGTGGCCGAGAATCTGGTGAGGAAGGACCTGCCAGATCGATTGACGGAGTTCCTGCAAGCGGCCAAAACAAAGCCGATGATCCGGCGGTACGAGTTTGCCTCGTTGGAAGGTGGGTGGTCTTGTTGCGTTACTGTTCGGGCAGCACAGTTTGACTTCATCTTAGGTCTTCATCAGTTTCAGGCTGCCGTGACCGGGTTCAATGTTCTCTTTGATGGGTAACTATTTCTTTGCAATTCTGCTAAGAGCGTCATTGGGCTAATTTCGAATCTAGTATCGCGTCCACCTTTGCCATCTCCCGGCGACGCATGGTCGTTCCCATCCACAAGAAGTGGGAAGCAACAGCGACTCGGGTCCAGGTGGTGCAGCAGAACAAGACGATCCAGCTGCTGGCGTTCTTCGGCAGTGATTTCAGCCACGGCAAGTGCATGAACTTTGTCCTCAAGGGGACGGATACCTACGAGAGCTTCAACCGGTCCGGCAAGTCGGGGGTGCGCATCGTTGATGCCAAATTCGCGTTGCCCAAGACCGACGATGACGAGAGCTCGCGATTCGTCTGCCTGGACATGCCGGAATATCCGATTGAGCACGATGATATCAATATTCTTTTTGAGTCGGAAACAGGTGCGATCGCTGCCTGCCGTCTGAAATGCTAAGCTAACATCTACGTAGACCGGAAGAATTTCCTTGCCGTCATGCCGGGGTCGCTGAGAGAGCCGTCCCGGATGGGCTCGCTACGACGGTAGCAGTGTGCTCATTGCCAAACACAGCGAGAAATAGATTTCACATTTCCTGCATCTGTGTACTGTAGATATGTCATGTCTAGGGCGCATCACGTGACGCGGGATTTGTCCGAGCTCGGGGACTCGGCGACTCCCCACCGCAGGCAGAAGCCCCTCCATGGCGCCATCGCCTATCATTACAACTCCAACCACGCCTTTCTTTGATACCCTTTCTTTCGTTCATCGTCAATTCATCTCCTATTCTATCGCACCATGGCGCATCCACCAGCTCAGCCTGCCACGCTCGCTCTTCACGCCGACGATGTGCTGAATAACGTCACGGACGTGGCTCCGCCCATCCATCTGTCAACGACTTTCCGCTACTCGGACAATCCGGACGAATTGACTCCAATTGCAGATCTGTCTGTATGTACGGGGGAATTGGGACAGGCGACTGGACGTGGAGCTGATTGTCTGCAGGAAAAACCTCAGGATCAGGACCCGAAACAGCACGTTTACTCTCGAGTCACCGCTCCCAATTCGACTCGCTTTGAGACCATCCTTTCCTCCCTCCTGAAGGGTCATGTTGTGGCATACTCATCTGGTCTGTCGGCATTGCACGCGGCGCTGGTGCTCCTGAACCCACGCCGGATCGCCGTTGGACACAATTACCATGGCTGTCACGGCGTCATCGCGTTGTTCTCTCGCCTGACAGGACTACAGAAGCTGGATCTGGATTGCCCGGCCGAACAGCTGGAGGCAGGCGATGTGGTCTTCCTGGAGACGCCGCTGAACCCTCATGGAACGGCGTTCAACATTGAGCATTACGCGCAGAAGGCGCACTCGCGGGGCGCTTATCTCATTGTGGACAGCACTTTTGCGCCGCCGGGACTGCAGAATCCGTTCGAGTTTGGGGCGGACATTGTCATGCACTCAGGGTCGAAATACTTTGGTGGACACAGTGACGTGCTGTGCGGGGTGTTGGCCACCAACCGCAAGGATTGGTACGAGCGGCTGTGGGGCGATCGAGTATACCTGGGCAGTGTGATGGGCAACCTCGAGAGCTGGCTGGGTGTGCGCAGTCTACGCACCCTGGAGGTGCGCGTGCAACGGCAGAGCCAGAATGCGGAGCGGCTGGTGGCGTATCTGGACGGGGCGCTGCACGCGTTCCGGCCGGCGGCGGACAGTGACGAGGCCGCGGTGCAGGGGGTGCTGTACCAAATCAACCATGCCAGTCTGCAGAGGGGGGATGCGTCGTGGCTGAAGAAGCAGATGCCGAACGGGTTTGGGCCGGTGTTTTCAATCGTGCTGCGCAAGGAGGAGTGGGCACGGCGACTGCCGAGCAAGCTGGCGTATTTCCACCATGCGACGAGTCTGGGCGGGGTGGAGTCGTTGATTGAATGGCGAGCCATGACGGATGCGCGGGTGGACCGGAGGTTGTTGCGGGTGAGCGTGGGGTTGGAGAACTGGGAGGATCTGCGGAACGACTTGGTGGCGGCTTTTAAGGCGTTGCTGAAAGAGTCGACGGTAGAAGTGGTAGATTCTGTCGATAGGAGGCAGTAGAATACTGTATGTACATACATCTAGCTGCAGCAGGCCATTGAGGCATACTTTTTATGGATGAATAATATACAGTCAAATTTAGACTGGTTGGGTACATACATGTGTGTGTGGTATAGATTGAGAAATTCCGACAGACAAAGCTTGTCTATCGACTCTATCCTAGAATCAACCTTATATTCTGGTCAATAGCAGTCTACCAGTCTACCTAAATATAATATATCTATTTATCAATGGCAATTAGAGATGATAACTGCACTGGCTGTAATAAGTGATTAAAATACTAAACCTTTCTCTCCCCTGCGTGTTTACGGAGTATTGTGGAAACCCCTCGTAGAGGCTCTAACAAATACATATTATATTTATTAGAAGCACCGAAGGAAGCCAATACTCATTCATAAGCAAAATTACCTCGCAGATAGAAGCCTATCGGAGTCAGAAAGGCTAACAAAGGACTGTTTCAACACTTACCAACACTGAGAATCTGAATGTCAAGATGGCTATTGATGAAGCCGAGTTTTTTTTTAAATTAATTAAAGCACATATGGAGGTTTCGTCGATCTAGAAAAAAAAAAAAGAGGACAAAAAGCTCTCTCTCAAAGCCTGCAATGGAAGCTTCTTAAATGCAATCTCGTTTATTTAAATCGCAGGGGATTGTGTAAACAATTGGAAAAAAAATCATTATTTCCTTCCAATTTAACAGGGTTCTGTAATCTTATTGGTCAAGTTCTAGAGGCCAGAGGCAAAATCAGCCTGGCTAGATTGTTACTATTATAATTGTAACGAGGCAGACAAAGGCAGAATCTCATTAATAATATAATGTAGATAGATATGTATGGACTGGACTGTATTTATACAGTTGGTATACAGATAGTAGGTAATTGCTGCTCGTTGGCACGAGGGCCTCAGGAAGAACACCAAGGTATATAAAGTACAGTTGAAACAGAAACCCATTTATCAGACTTTATTTTTTTATTTTCTATAACTCATCAGATTGTATATCCAGGTGGTATCAAGATTTAGTTTCTTTTTCTTCCTTTAGTCATGAAGTCACTTGGAAGTAGTAATCATGGCATCATTAACATTCCTATATCTCTGCGTCCGTTCCCCAGAAGGAAAAAAAAAATCTATCTTCAGTTTTGAGTCCATCTAAGTAAGGGTAATGCTGATGTATAAGTTTAAGGCTCTGATCAAAACCTTTTTTTTTAATTCGAGCCGTTATTAAATTATTTATATAAAGGTTGTCTCTCCTCTTCCTCCAATATTGTTATCTCCAGTCGACAACTTTTCTCTCATATATCTAACCAGAACGTTTTATTTATTTATTCAAGACATCGATCTATCTATTCCAAACAACACAACCACAACCAAAGTGGCACAACCAAAGCGGAGGACCATGGGGATTTTCGTCTTTATAGAAGTCACCTTCGATTTCCCCCGTCTCTACCCTTTAGGCACCTACATGCGCAGCTGGAACAAGGCATTCACCTGCCACGAAAACCACGCGAAGCAAACAACGTGGATCAACGAGTATCAGACACAAGAATCCCGATGTGAACTTCTTCGCCAACGGGCAATATATCTGCAAGAGGATGTAGATGCTTTACAAAAAATCCCTGAAAAAGATATTGCGCCTGAACAAGTGCAGCAGCTGCAATCCTTGGAGGAAGAGCTTGCGCAGGTTAAGCAGCAGTACTGGAGCGGTCGACAAACACTCGGCGATTTGCTAGTTCGTAAGCCTCGGGGTGGTGCCCGGATAAGGGAATTCGAGCTCCGTCACCAAAGGAGGAAAAGCGTCAGTGGAAGACGGACCGCAGGATTTGTCGGGTTAGAGGAGGTTGTTGTGAGAGGGACTATGAATGCTGTGAGAGGCCGAAGAAGAATTTACTTTGTCCAGGGAAAAGTATGGAAAAAGAAGACGCATTGCAGTGTGGCGTGCGGGTGCTGTGTTCGGAGTCGTGGGATATATGGGGATGATACGGATGTCAGGGGATAATAATAGTAGTTTAGAGGCTGGTCATCAATCACATGAAAGACTACTGATACCAGGCTTTCAGATCTGTCTTCAGTCTACTTGCATGCATTCTAAAATCTAATGTGGATCCTCCCCCGGATACTAGATTATATAATTAGGCAATCCACAACCAACCAACCAACCACCACCTTTCCATCTCTAAGGCAGGTTCTTATCATTTTCATTATTAGTGGCCTTCTCTCCAAGACAATATACATACAGTTCTCAAATAATCCAAAAGAAAAAGAAAAGAAAAAGCAAGGTACAGACAGGACTGTGCATAGGACATATCGCATTTTTGTACTGTATGCTGCACTGTGCGAATTCATTGTTCATTTATTCGACTCTATTCAATTCTCTTCTATTCAGTTCAGTTCAATTCCATCGACTGACACGACTGATCGATTGATTCGTTCGTCTCGATCGGACAGAGACAAATAGACAGAAAAAACGAAAGAAAGAAAGCAATAAAGAAGGCGGAGAGAAAAGAGGCATTTGGATCCTTAACATAACGATAACAACAACAAGAACAATAACAACATGAGCAATCATACCGGCCAGGACCCTGCTGCTACTGCTGCCGCAGCTCCAACCAGCGGCACCTTTCAAATCCACTACTTCGCCTCCGCCGCCTCATACACCAAGAAAGCAACCGAGACGCTCCCAGCGCCGCTACCGCTACGACGGCTGTTCCGCGTACTGGAGGAGAAGTACCCGGGGATCCGGGACGCGGTGCTGCGGAGCTGCAGTGTGAGTTTGGGGTTGGAGTATGTGGACGTGAATGATGATGACGAACATGACGATGGTAGTGGGAATGAGAGTGGGGTTGTTATTCAGGTTGGTGATGAGGTGGGGATTATTCCGCCGGTTAGTTCGGGGTGATCTTTCATCATAATCTGTTTCTGTTAGATGTGCTATGTTATTGTTGAGGGATGGTTATATATTTTTTTTTATTTTTGATTATTTATGGGTATGATGGATTGCCTGTATATATTTTACTAGCTGCAAAAGCAGGCTTGGTATCTGATCTGATCTCGTCTAACCAGGCTAATGACTTGATTGAGTTTGCCTGTTCAATAATCTGTGGTAAGATTTTTCTTTTCTGAAGATAAAGGAAATATTCCTTGTGAATTCGCTCGAGAAATCCACTTCACTCACTCTGCTCACTCGTTTTTCTTGCCTTATTTTTTGTCTCATCTTCTTGACGAAACTACTATGAACTAGGCTATCGCATTCATTTTATTCATTATCATTTTCATTCACCACAGACATTCATAACAGATAGATACATGCCTAACAAACAGACAAGCCGACACACAGAGAGAAACGAATTACAGCTTCGCAGGCGGCCCCGTCTGAAACACCGCCCCCTTAGGCGCCACCGCCGGCTGCCAGTGGTACCTATCCTTGGCATAGATCTCAGCCGAGGGCTTCCAGTCCTTGGAGCCCTCGAGCAGCGCGGTGCGGATCACGTACTTGGACGGGTTGACGGCCTGGTGGTGGTAGACGTGGGCGGTGCAGTTGGGGCAGTAGTAGCAGTGCACCGGGTTGCCCGAGTCGCCGTAGTAGGTGTAGGCTTTCAGCTCGCCCTTGTCGAGGCGGAAGTCCTCGCGCGGGATGATCTGGTTGAGCGTGTAGTCGGTGCCGGAGAGGTATTTGCAGGTGCCGCAGTGGCTGTAGTAGTTAGTATATGTACATACATATCTTTATGTTGTAGGTAGGGAGGTAGGTGCTAGGCTACTCACCACAGCACATGGCTCTTATCCTCCAGCCTGACGGTCCATTCCGTCTGCTTGCAGTGGCAGCGGCCTTTGATGAGGGACATTTTGTGCAGCGTTTATTGGTGGAGTGTTGAATATGTCGTCGTATAGGATGGTAGATAGATAGATCGATAATGATAATACCCTGTTGGTTGGCTCTTGAATGACTGATGAATTGAAGACAATCCACCAAGGTCCTTCTTTCTTTCGCGTTCAATCAATAAATAGGATGGATGGAAGGGGAGGGAGAGAGAGGAGGAGAGGGGAGGGGAGCAATAACCGAAGAATATTATTTATTCGTTATTATTCCATCTCTCTTAACCGAAGGACCTGCAGATAGCATAGCATAGTATCCAGCTCTCTCTGCTGGCACGCTTTCTTTCTCCTCATCTTCCCCGCACGCACGAACTCACTATCCAGCATGGTTCTACATATGTATCTGCGTAATGTTATTCAGCTGAGACAGGATTACCTAAGTACGGAGGAGCATTGTCCATCTTTCCCCACTCGAACGAACGATCGAGATCAGGCAGGAATCATTTATTTGATTTTGGTTGGTTGGTTGATCGACAGGACTACTATAAGTAATTACGTACCATACCAGACAAGACAGACAGAATACACAACCTAGGTACCTACATACAGGTCAAGATGGCGATAATACTGTACACGCAATTGACGGCAAGTTCTGCGGTCGATAATTTATGATAATAGTCAGATAGGTAGGTATTCTTGCAAATAGAGATACATATCTACAAGTATAAAACGAAAGAGAAAGAAGAATCGAGCAAAGGAAGCAGCCATGTCAAGACTAATAATTACTGACTGGTGGAGTCCTCCGTATTATTTATGGGGAAACTTGCGGGGTAGCTAGCGGAGTAATATGGGGTAGAAACACAAGGTGGATAAATCACAATGATCAACCTTCTCCGCAAGTATGGAGTATGGCCACTGACTGCCCTGTACATGTACCCTCTGCTTGTTATCATTACTGATCCTATATATTATTACGATCATATCATTATTTATTCTTCTGTTCTCTCATACGGTCCTATACAAAAAACTACTCCTGTTATATGTACTGTCGATGGACGGGCAGACGGCCGGATACACATTCTCCGCATTAGAGAGTTAGAGCCAGTCAGCAGAATTATCTATCCTGTGGGTATTTATTTAGAATTACGTGTGTTTGGCAGGCTGGATCTGTGTTCCGGCCCCAAGAACGTAGTACATGTACTTACCAGGTATATGTATGGGTCCAAAGATGCGGGGAAAGTAACGTCAGTCAGTCAGTCGGTCAGTATGATACGTATCATATCACTGTAGATGGAGTGTCTGTCCAAGACAGAGGGAAATAAATCCCTCGTACCTGCCCATCATACCACCTGGTCAGTTTGATCACCTTTTGCTGTGTTATTTAGTTTTCAGGATGTTTCCAGTCTGGTCTAATTCATGGTCTGTTTGGTTGTGTAAACTGCTACTATCCTTGGCACAAGGACCTGGGGGTAATGACGCATGCACAGTAACTCCAATCTGTATTATTTCTTAAGTATCCGTAAAATACTAGTATTACTTTCCCTCGGTCCGAATTTCTCTCCACACACCCAATTATCTCCTCATTAAGGTCTATTCCTCATTTGACATTATTTAAAGATGAATGTCATCGCCCGCTGTCTTCAGGCTTGCGTCCGTAGACAATGACCCTATTCGACGATTAGGCACAGTTATGTACACTACGTATTAGATTTCTCAACTTACACTTCATAGTAGATCCGCTGCTCGCCGTCTCTCAGCACTTCCTGAGTCTTGCGGATAAACTCGCGCGCTTGGTCGGCCGTCCACTGGAGCTGTCAGCATGTTCTCTCTCAGATCACCTACCTAGGTGGTTGAACGCACCCCCATATACCTCGTGCTGAGGGCCATGATCCACCCCTCCATGCCCACTTCCCAGAACTCGCGATACCACCGTCCGATCTCGCGCAGTCGTGCGTCCGACGCCCACGTCCCGATTGGCCACTTGAATCGTACCTCGCGGACGTCCTCGAATCCGGCCTCCCTCATCGCCTGCTGCATCGTGTCCGCGATGTGCCACGACTTGCCCGTCTTGACGCCGCACTGCTTCCAGAATTGGTACCACTGGTGGAAGATCGAAAGGGAGGAGGAGTACTCCCCAGAAAGACTGTGTGGGACGAGAGACATTTCCGCTTGTTCGATGTATCCTCCTGGCCTTAGGTGGCTGGACCGTGTCAGAACGTCTAGACCGCTTTGCTGGTTCTACTCACTCGATGGGCTCTTACTCAAAGCTCTGCTCGTAGAACGTAGGCCAATCTTCCACACTCCCAAAAAGACACCGCACGTGTATCAGATCGAAGGGCTGCCTGCCTTCGTCCAGGTACGTCCACTTCGAGCAGCAGTCGTCGACTTCCAGACGCAGGTTCGGCCGGACGGCATCCTCCCAGATGGGCGACAGGTCGGTTCCTGGCTGTCTCAGCAGATCATTCATGAAAGGAAATAGTCTGTCTTACTCACCTAATATTTCTGCGTCCGGGTATGCGTCTGCAAAGTTCCTGTACCCCAAAAGTCAGAAATATAGAATCGCAAAACACGCATTCAGCACGTACGTCGCCCACAGCCCGATCCCCGTTCCGATGTCGAGGACATGTCGCGGATTCGATATAGGAGCCAGCAGGAGTTTGTCTTTCAACGTCAGGCAAAACAGATGGTGCCTACGCCAGTTAGCTATAGTACTATGGTACTGCATCTGCAGATCACATACGTGATCACCTGGTGATACGCATCCTTGTCGTCGTTCGGACCCCAGTATGAGCCGTCTCCTGAGGCCGGCAGACTAGTAAGCTATGCACCTTGACAAGAGAAACGAGAGGAAATAAACGTACGATACGAATGGTACCGACGACCATTTTCGTACCGGTAGGATTTTGCCGGCGAGAGAAGGACTCTGGTTCTGTCGGCGTTATAAGCGGGGCTCTCTTTATATTCAATCGATAGATAGATAGATGATTGCTTCGACTTACGAAGAAGTGTCATCTTTGTCGTCGTCGTCGGAATATGACCCGATATGGTTCTGCACGGCATCAGCTGGTGCTTAATACCAACTATTGGTTTTTGTGGATCAATCCTACGCTTGAAGGCTGTCGTGGAATCCGTGCACTCATCCGGGCTTGCGTCTGCTTCGAAACCATCGACTCGAACGGTCGTTGGTCGAGTGATCTCATATCAACTCTCAATCACTGCAATGAGGTAGCAGACAGTCGCAACGTATAACACCTGCGTCTGCGGATAGTATCAGATATCGACGACGACCGTAGAATATCCCCAAATACTGATGAGTATGAGTATCTAACGAAATGAGAAGAAGAAGATGATGATGATAAACTTAGCATCCCAATCCAAGCGAACTCTGGCATCATACCAATTTATATATCCGTGAATCTCGAGTCTCTCTACCAAGCACATAACGTACCTATACACCGCCAGTTCGAAAGAATCTCAACTCAAGTAAAAAGAATATAGAAACGGTTCCGATGTTGAAACATAGCTGTCTTCTTGTCAACTTGTTTCATCGAAGGCCTGGCTGCAGATCCTTCTGGTTCAGGTATTTGCAACCCCCGCCAAGCAGGATGCCCAAGAAACCATGCTGGCGCAGTCACGCAGCCACGCAGTGCTGCTTCCAGAAAAAGAGTGTCCATGCATGTAGGTCTAGATGAGCAGTATGCGCTAGGCAACACGTGTGTGGTGGCCCGTAGTCCTGTCATCGGGTCTCGGATCTCAGCCGAGTACTGTGCATAGAGATATGTATCAGGTGTTCAGGTTCAGGTTTCAGGTGCTCCGACAACATTCCAGAGAAACCACGCGCTGCCGTGGTTGGTTGAGAAGTGGAGACGAAACAAAACAGCAGCCCCCATACCTAAGTTCTGCACATTTTTTTTGTTTTGTTTCAAGTCGATATAAGCCATGCTGTTTTTCTTTTTTGTTTTTCTGCTCGTGGTGTGGTGTGGTGTGGTTTGCCAAATTCCCATGACCATGTGTGAAAGAAGGCATGTGCCACGCTTCTCACGAGGCCGAGTCAGGCGAAAGGCAATGCAATGCAATGCAATGCTACAACAGTGTTCACCTGCCTAATTAATCAGTCAGGTTTTGTAATAATCAATGCCACCTTGTGCTAGTGAGCTCTGTGGGCATGTGCTCACCAGGCCAATGCAACAGATATGTACTACTGTACATAATGCTACCATTAATAGTAGCCGTGTACTTCTCCCTGCTTCAGATGCTAGGAATAGGCGTGGAATTTTATATGATCGACACCTAATTCTCTGATCAAATGGCGGTGGATGAAATGAAAGTGTTTTCTTCATTGATTTGATGTCTTCCCATAGACATGGACATGGGTTGAGAATGTTGCAAGTAATAATAGAGAGCTTTGCGTTGTATACCAATGTTTTGCAATTTCGTTGTCTGTCTTTCTGTTATTCTTTGTGTTGCTAATATTTTTTTTTCCTTTTTGCTATTATCTTTTTCTTTCATCCATTTTTTTATCGTCTACTGTCTACTGTATATTGTCTAATGAGAGACTCTAATCCGGAACTCATTCGATTAGTATTTATTTAATTTCAGAACCAGCTGTATTCCGTTCATTCATGGGAGTTTTTTTTTTTGATTTTCTTTCTAGGAACACAATAACGAATAACAGTAACCACCAACGCCCGTTCCAGCGCCAAATGATATCGACAAAAAAGCAAAGCAAAGCAAAGAAAAGCAAGTGTAATTAGTAGGCATGACGTAGGCGATGCCTATTCATTAGGTGATCCCAGATCTCAGTTAAAAGCAGAAAAAGAAAGGACATGGACAAAAACAAGAAACATCTGTGTTTTCGATTTCCTAAATCGATAGTTCAATTGACAATATACCGTTGATAACTCGTTGAAGGCGAGAATAGCGTTTCGATACGACACAACACGGTCAAGATTAACTGTCTCCCTTCGCAGCCGCGCCGGCTTTCTTCTGCCGCCACAGGCAAATGCTGCAAAACACAGAGAACGCGAACAAGATACTAGACAAAATCAGCACTTGGATCAATGTAACGAGGAATACTGTAACTGCTTACCACAACGCGATGCTGAGCCCCCAGATTGACTTCATTTCAAGGCAGACCGCCTTGGAGGCGCCGATGAATTCGCTGTAGACAATAGTGCCGCCCTCTTTGTTCAGGTAGTTGCCCAGATTGGTGGCAAAGGCATATGCGGACGAGTCGCTGCCGGTCACCTTGCCGATCACGTTGCAGTTCAGATAAGAGAGCGGCTTGCCGACCACCACCGCTACAACGATGACCGCAATCAGCAGAAGCCCGTCCATCGCCGCATTGATAAGGAACGGCAAGATGTTGTCGATGAAGAGGATGAAAGTGAGTGCGCAGTAGAGAACGGCGATGCAAGTCTGCATTGCGAATGAGTATAAACGTCAAGTATTGTCAATTCAAACCACCACTTACCACGCTGATCACACCAACGAGAACATTGGGCGGGGTCAGATTATTGGAGACCATCTCCGCGATGAAGTTTGCGGTCATGCCAATGATCGCAATGAGAGACATGGCCTGGAAGATGCGGACAATCTGGAAGGTTGCGCCCAGCGCGCCATACTGGTTTCCAGGCATGGTGACGGATATGCAAAAAGCAGATAATGGAATCAAGAAATAGTTCGTATAGATAGTCTTCGACAGACAAATGAAGGTGAAGTGTAGGTGCTATACAAATTCCAACTGGCTCGGCTGTACCAAAGAAATGTCTTGCCAGAAGAGAGAATGAAAAGGGTTCTCTTTAAGGAAAGAAGATGCCGTTTAAATAACAGAGGCTCAAATGAAAGACAAGGAAAGAAAAGAAATTTGTCAGATAACTCGCTGAGTCACTAGTGGTTGCTGGAACAAAGGAACCGGGGCCCTGGCATTGGGGATATGCCCCTTAAGTATCCAAAGAATGGAGTCATCATCTGAATCATCCTCCATAAGAAGCTCATTCACCAAGCTCTAATGAGCAGCAAAGCTCCATTGCCCGTACACACTGCAAGTATAGCAACGTTGAAGCTGATCGCAACAAGCGCCGGGGCAGCCAATCAGCGGGCGCGAAGTATAACGACTAGCTGCTGCCCGTTTCGGCTGCTCCTCCAAATAGAACAGCGTCTCCGCCCTGGCGCTTACGTCCTAGACGCGGCTTCTGCACGACTCTTCCTGTCCAACGGTTGCGCTCGCACGGAGAAAACTGATACAGAATGTCACGGCCATGCGGAAGGCCTAGAATTTTGAGATTCCTGCAGGGAATGATCTGCTTTGATCGTCCACCGGAGATGGTCGAGACCGATTTTGCACTGCCACCTCGCGATGCATGAATATTTCCGAAAGCTTGAACTATTTCCTTTCTGAAAAGGAATACTTGCGATACGCTGTCAAGCTGTGGAATTCTAGGCCGCCAATGAAAGCCTCGAGCAGCAAACCTGCCGTCTAAGATCCAAGCTGCTACCAAGGGAGACCTGCTGGAACTCACCAAGCAAACTAGGTGCAGCCTCACTCTTGAAAGTACTCTGGATACTGGCATGGACATGTATGAGGATCTAGATCAGTGGGCGTGGATAAGAACCACAGTCCAGGCCTTGACGCTCGAAGCCCGCCACCAAGACTCCAGAAGCGCTCAACGTGGAGGATTCCATGCTTGGGACAAATCGCATTCGAGCCTTGTCATGGCTTTGTCCTTCATCATTCAAGTATCCAATTGTCACTCCATTGTGCACCGTTGTTAAATTAGCTTGTCGCTGTCTATGCAACAAAGGAGAGGAGTTCCAGAACTGGTCAATGAGACAAAGAAAAAAGACAAGAAAAGAAACAAAGGAAGAGTTTGGATCCCTTTCAAATTTATCTCAGGCGGTAGAATTCATAGCAATGCGTATCGTAAGGCTTTCGCTGTCAGTCAAATTTCAGCTTCTTGCAGGGTTTAATCGAACTTAGTGTCATGACGTCCTAGGAAAGTGGGCAATTGTCACAATATCGTAACAGTCTGAGCCTGAACAAATATATCCTAGGCTGTAATTAAGATTCATCAGCTGTAGAGTGCGCCTGTGATGGCAGCACAGTCCACAGCATCGTGTTGAACTTGGACAGTTACTAAGCTCATCTCACCGCCCACGCGGTGAGCGATACTGCCGGCAGAATCGAAAATTCGTCAAATCAACTGGGACGGCTGCTAAGAATCAGCAACAATCGAGATCAGTTTGGCTCTGCAAAGAGTACAATTGATCCTGGTCAAGAGAGTCATCGGGAATGGTTCCAAATGCGCCATGGATGAGGGGTTCTCTCCACAAGTCGTCCGCGATGCAGGCCTACGCCTGCGCTCGCTGCGTCCGGTCGCAGCAGCGCTCAGTGGTCTCCATCGCGGCCCTGTCCATCCGCTCTCGAAATAGTCGTTTTTTCGGCGCCAATATTCCACGACGTGCCTTTTACAGTGATCATAAGGTTTTTCTCGGAAAATAGCGACCTTCTCTGCATTCACCTTGCTGACTTCTGCATCTAGACATCTCCGAGCTCGGACGTGCGGACGGCCGTCGATGAGATCCTGTTGAAGTCCGAATTCGAAGCGAAGAAGGACATTCGAGATTATCTGCGGAAATGGCAGGAACACCACGATAACTCTGCAGACCCGGTTCGCGGCCCCGGCACGACGAACCCCCTGAAGAAAGAGGAATCATTGGTGGGGAACATGTTGAACGACAGCCGGGAGGCCTATGACGCCGGAGGCGACAGGGAGCGCGCTGACGAGGAAGAGAAGACCGAGTTTTTCCACGACATGGACGAGGGAAATGATATGAAAGCCTTTCTGGAGCCAGGTGACCTGGTCGGCCTTCAATCGTAAGCTGCCAGCCCGTCCAATTCTGACTGCCCTCCCATGTCCTAACGGCTGCTGTCTAGTGCTCATGGCACCATGACCATGGCGATCTATATCCGCTCCGTCCAGAAACAGCAGCAATTCTATACCTCCCGAGGAAAGTGGCGAGTAGCCTCCAATAAAGACCTTGACTACGTTCTGAAAGGGTTTGCTCCGAGGGAACTGGTCCAAAGGCTGCATCCATACCTGCCCGATGGTGTCACCGAGGCCAACACCGAAATACAGTCGTTCATCGAAGGGGGCGTACCGCGACCAGTTGGCGCTCCTCTCATTCTCATGCTACAAGAGTTTGAGGAACAAGCCCGAAGCTTTTACAGGGAACATCCCAGCGAATTGGACAACATATACGACCGGGTTGCTGACGAAAACGAGCGTCTGGAATTCACAGTTCAGAAATTGGCTGCTAAAGCTTTGGGGATGGACGAGTCAGAGTTGACCGATCCTATCTTGTTTCTGGTTCACAGGGCCGTGACACGATATCCTTTTGTCATCGATTACGATCGGACATCCGTCTTTACCGATCATTACTTGGTGCAGCCAAAGCGGGTCGCTAAAGTCATCGAGACCGTGGGGAATTGGGTTCGGGAACACCAGGACCATCTCGCCCGAGTTGCTATGGGCAAGGAGTCAAATTTCAAGGATCATCCTTTGCAGAAATTCATCAACAAGGCACAGCGGTTGATCCGCCAAAGCCGAAATGTTCGGTCGCCTACGACGATGGCCAACGTGGGCCCAACAGCGCAGAGATTTTCAGCCGACGAGACTAAGGACGGCCGGGTCTACCGTGAGGTTCCAACGGAGAAGTTCAGCGACACCGATCGGATGATCATTGAATATCTGCAGCTCTATTGCATCCCTCCACGACGAATGAGATCTGGCATTATGAGATATGCAGGGGCTCATATCATGCGATCCACCGGTATGTACAGCACTCTGACCCTGTATTCTGGATCCGTGCCGCTCTTCCTTCAAGAACTGGGGTGATTGCCCCTTGGGAGAATCTGAACGTGTTGGACCAGACTCTCGCTCTGCCAGGTCATGGGATATCGTCTCGTTCGGATAAACAGATGCAAAATACGTGGCAGACGGCTAGCGCAATGTGTGGTAACCCCCCCCAGGATGTGATGCAGGATCTGAGGACCGACTGGGGGGACTTGCCGGTTTACTGTGTGGACGATGTTGATTCGAAGGAGATTGATGATGGTGTTTCTTTGGAAAAGGTTCCTGGATCCAGCGACACGTACTGGATTCGCGTCCACGTTGCAAATCCGTCTGCCTTTATTCCTCATGACCATACCGTCGCACAGTATGCTGCCCATCGTTTTCAAACTTTATATGTTCCTGAACGCACATATCCCATGTTGCCGGAGCCTTTGACAGGGAAATACTTCAGTCTGGCTCCCGGTCGCCCGACATTGACCATCAGCGCCAAGATCAATACAGAAGGAGAGGTTCTCGAGACCAACATCGTCAATGGGTACATTCGCAATGTCATCTATCTGACTCATGACAAACTGCGTGAGCTTTTTGCTGGCGGTCCTAAGAAACAGCCAAAGACGTTTGTCGTGGGCGGAGAACTGCCACAGCAGAAGGCCGGAAGGGAATTGCGAGAGACACTAACCGAGGAGGACAAGAAGACTTTCCAAACCCTCAGACAAATTATGCTTGGCTTCAGGAATCAACTGAAAAAGAATGGTGCATTCTCCTGGCCTGAGAAAATCGAGACGCCTGTCTCTGTCTACGGCGGGAGGAACCTGCCCAAGCATCGGCTGGACGTTACGCAAGGGCGCTACTTCCTTGGAGACCCTGTCATTTCGCTACAGTGGCGAGATTATGACCCTCACGTAGTTCCCGATCTAACCAAAGAGAATCTAATCTCGACAATCATGAATTTCGCTTGCTGGGTCACCGGGCGATGGTGTGCTGATCGCAACATTCCCGTCATCTACGATGGGACGTGGTATCATCCCGAGTACCCGCCGCTCACCAGCGAAAACATTTCGCAGTACGGAGGCAAGAATTGGCTTTTGTATGCACCTCCTCGAGGCATCTCTTCCTCCAGTGTACTCACCCATTATGCGCTGGGTTTCGACGCCTATGTGAAAAGCACCAGTCCGCTGAGGCGATTCTCCGACATGCTGGCCCATTACCAGGTCGAGGCCGCCCTGCGCTACGAAAGCCAACATGGCCGGAAGTTCGACGCGACGCAGGATCCGTCTGTCTTGCCATTTCCCAGGAGCGAAGTGGACAGGGTTATCGAACGGTCCCGGTGGCTTCGTCCGCGGATAATGCAATGCGAGTCCGCTTCGTACCAGTTCTGGGCTTGCCAGCTGCTCTTCCGAGCGTTCTATTTCAACGAGTGCGAGCTGCCGGAGACGTTCCCCTGCGTGGTGCACCAGCCGCTGTCGCACGTCACCCTGTCGCAGACGGAGCATCTGGAGGGATACGTGGCCTACAACCTGCCATTCGGGGTTCGATGTCAACTTTTCGTACCTCGCGACTTCCCGGAGGTGGAGATGCTCAGTGTCGTGGACGCCAAGATCATTGCTGTTGATCTGGCGCGAGAGGTGGTCATCATGGAAGCGGTTCGGCTGGTCAAACACTTTGAGAGAATTGGCGAATGGGCTTGAGGCGTCTACTCTGTACACATGTTGATTTAACGGTTCTGCGTTCATTTTGGAATATTCACATGATGCACCATATAGGATAGGGGGTTGCCCGGGTTCACAACACTGTACAATATTACTCATGTATTTATATATTGATGGATCATGCTTTGAAATTACCATAGATCTTCTCCCTACTGTCAACTTTAAAGTTTTTCTAGTAGTTGGACTGACACAATTTTCGAAGCCTACACTTTTCCCTATTTAAGGGATTTAAAATGAATAATATATTTTCCATAATTCCAGTGCATATGTTTGATTGATTGAGCAGGGCGTCCAAGCCATTGACAACAACATCATCTTCCAAAGACGCCCCTTGAATATCCCCAATACATATTCATACAATTAAAAAAAGTATCACAATGGTATTCATAATGAGTAGTACTTTCCACCCGAAATATCAAATATATTGTACAGTACAGAAGCCATCCCTATCCCTCTCTCTTCCTCTCTCTCTTTTTTTCAAGGATAGGCAAGCAAGCCGCTCCAAGTTTTTCGCTTCTTGTCAGACGACGTTTTTAAAAATACCATCGCCATCTTCGTCAAAGAAACTGACTGCCTCCGACGAGGGAAAGCGAAATCATGATGTTGCGACGAACAGTGTTCGGTAAATTGGAGTAGTCGTTTACAGACTGGAATTTGCGGAGAACATAAGTATCAGCTTTTATTTTGTTGCTCGAACGGGGGAAACAAAAAGTGTCAAGGAGAGAGAAAGTAGCTAGCTAGCTACTTCGCAGGTTGGAAGTCAGTGAGTGGACTTACGGAGGAAGAAGGAATTCGCTCAGACTGCTGTGAAGGAAAGCCACTGCGGCCTGTATCGTATTCGCATCAGTCGTCAGTTCAAGAAAACAATTGAATGAAAAATATCCCTCGAACGTACGCCAAAGACCAGCACACTCCTCACAATGGTAGCATTCTCGGACGAGGTCAGTTCCTTGTATGCGGCGCTCAGGAAGCCTTCCTGTTGCCGGCGGCTGGCGGAAGAGGACTGGACGACGACACGCTTGGGAGCCATGGCGCAGGACTTAGTGACTCTTCTCAGACAGAAAAGAAATTAGGGAGATAGATCTTTGTTGAAGGGAAGTGTGTAGTTATTGTCTTGTCGTGTCAATCGTCGGAAATCGGCGACTCGAGAAATCTTTCCGCCGTTGCGAGCTTAGCTTGGCGTCATGATTTTGCGCTTTGAGCTTGCCTGGGCGGCCGGAGTGTTTTCGGAAGCTGTCTAATTAGTAGCGTCAACTGTACCATCCGAAAGAAGTATGTGAGGCGCGCGAGAAATAAGAAAAGAAATTCTGTATTATAATTGAGTGCTGATATTTTTATTTTTTTTCTTTTGTTTTCTGTGGATACGGTTATTCGAATTCCTGTCTGTGGTAACACAAGTCCGACTGCAGGCTCATAGTCGTCGCTGTTTCGGCGGCGGCGTACTGTCGCAGCAACTTCAGCTTCTGTTCTATCCGCGTCCGGAACATCAGTTTCTACGTCAACCCTGCACATAATGACGAGCATTGATGATATTTTCAAGGTATACCCGCGATCTTGCCTTGCTATTTTCCATCTGTAACCATACTAACCTGTCCTCTGCAGAAACCTGCAGTTGGGGGATCCGGATCCGCCAAGCGCAAACTAGAGCCCGTTAAAGATCCCAGTACGCATCCCCCGCATGCTTTCGTCACTGGTACATGAATTTATATGTTTGCGCAACTTGCTGATACGAACGAATAACAGATGAGCTGTATAAAGCCGCCAAGCTAGAGACCAACGGCGATGTGAAGAGCAAAGGGAAGGCCCCCGCCGTGGAGGACGGAGAGGAGGAGAGCGAGGTCGCGGGACCGGAACTGCCGCCCGATTTCGACCAGGAAGATGTGCCTGACGATGAGGAGGGCCGCTTCTTCGGCGGAGGTATGGGGCGGCAGACCGCCCAGGCTATGGAATATCTCGATCAGCAGGAAAAAGAGCGAGGGGAGGTCGCGGTAGGTGGACAGTCCATTGCGTGGTCCTGGTTTTCAGACTAATGTGATGGCACTCCTCAGCCGGAGAAATTTGACACGGCCTGGGTGCGCCGACTCGCGCTGAACTTTGAGAAACGGATATCGAAGAACGCGGAGCTGCGCGCCAAATTCGAGAATGACCCGCAAAAGTAGGTGGTGGGCTGAAGGCGAGATCGATCTTGGCATTAGGAACACTGCTAATCACGGTCTGTTTGCTAGATTCATGGCCTCCGAAGCCGACCTCGACACCGAGATCAAGTCCCTCTCGATCCTTTCGGAGCATCCAGAGCTATACGAAGAGTTCGCGAAGCTGGGCTGCGCGGGCTCATTGGTGTCGCTCTTGTCGCACGACAACACCGACATTGCTATCGATGCGATCCAGATCATCAGCGAGTTGACGGATGAAGATGTGCAAGCTGAACAGGAACAGTGGGACAGTCTGGTCAACGCAATGGTACGGTCGAATATCTCGTCATATGGTAACTCACGCAGGGCTAACAATGTTACAAAACAGCTGGACGCCGATGTGATAGAGCTTTTAGTACAAAATCTCTCCCGTTTGGACGAATCCAACGAGGCGGACAGAGCGGGAGTTTATTATACTCTAAGTGAGTGCGCCAGCATTGAACTACATCCCCGGAACTTACGCTGACATTTCCTCAGATGTATTCGAAAACTTGGCCTCGCAAGCATCGATTGCGGAGAAGATCGGGCAAGATGCCAACGTCATGCCTTGGCTCCTGAAGCGTATACAGCAGAAAGAAACCCCCGTCAGCCAGAACAAACAATACGCCGCTGAGATTCTAGCAATCCTACTACAATCGTCCACGCAAAACCGGAAGAAGTTCGCCGAGTTAGATGGAGTCGACGTCCTTCTTCGGCTTCTCAGTGCCTACCGGAGGCGCGACCCTGAGAAAGACTCGGACGAGGAGGAATACGTGGAAAATCTGTTTGACTGTCTCACCTGTGTCGTTGATGAGGACGAGGGTAAAGACAAGTTCGTGGAGGCAGAAGGAGTCGAGCTGGCTCAGATCATGCTCAGGGAGGGCAAGCTCAGCAAGCAACGCGCGTTGCGGACTCTCGATCATGCCCTTGCGGGCCAGGGAGGTGCTGCTGCCTGCGAACGGCTCGTGGAGATAGCAGGACTGAGGACAATCTTTGGCATGTTTATGAGGAAGGTGAGTGCTATTCTAGCCTTGGGAGCTCTATCCGAAGCTAAACTATCACAGCAAGAGAGTCAGACGATCGAGCATCTACTTGGTATTTTTGCCTCCCTCTTGCGCATGCTTCCCGGAGGTTCCGCAGCGCGGATTCGCACACTGGCCAAATTTATGGAGAAGGACTACGAGAAGATCCAGAAACTGATCACGCTCCGCCGCGAGTACGCCTCCCGATTAGCGCCTGTCGAACAGGCCATCGAGAGAGAGCGACGGAGCTTGGACGAGACGGAGCAGGAGGAGATGGCTGGTGAATGGCTCTCTCGGCGTCTCGATGCGGGCCTCTTTTCGTTGCAGGTACGTGTTGTGGACCTGGTAGATTTTATTTCCGGATAGCTCACAATCTCTCTCAGACCATTGATGTTATCCTTGCATGGCTTGTGGCAGAGGATGACGGCGCAAAGAGTAAGATCTCGTCTCTCTTGGCCGATCGGGACGAAGACTTGTCCCTCATCCGAGCGACTTTGCAAGGTGAGCAATTATTGTGCATTCTTTCTTCGATTATCCCTGATCTGACGTATTTCACAGAGCAAATGAGCGATCTTGGCGACGACGACCCTGGCCAGAAGGATCTAAAAGAGATGCTTTCAACGTTAATGCAGTTTCTGTAATGATTCTAATGAGTGTGGTGTTGAACTAGTTCTCCTGTAATATAGAATTCACGTGTAATTGCAAAAGCAGTGAAGGACGCATATCTGTTTGTTGTATATTCTTTGTAGTTGTAGATGAAAGCAAGCTTGGCACGTGACTGGGTCCACTGGCTGCGCTAAGACGTATTAGGACTAGCGCTGTGGCGGCTCTGCAGCTAATCAGGGAAGCCGGCCCAGCCAGAACTCGGTGATCAAAGCATCCATCCATCCCTCCAGCATCTCTTTCACCAACCTGTCCCATCACGGCTGGCTTGGGATCTCACCTTGCCATCCTCTCGGGATTTGCATCTTGTCGTGGTCGTCCTGTCGCGACTGTGACCTGGGGGACTTAGCTGGTGAGGATCTCGCCCTGACTGCGTTGCGACCGGCCGAGACTCGATCTTTTTCTCCGAGCGCGTCGCGCCTTCTGCGCTCCGTTGCTGAGTTTTTCGCCCGTCACCGACAGCTCTCTGTGTCGCTTAATCTCTGCTCACGATGGCGGAATACGACGAGAACTACGAGGAGGAGTTCTACGAGGATGGGGAGGAGGGCATCACCTCCGAAGACTGTTGGACGGTCATTTCTTCTTTCTTTGAGTCCAAGGGTCTGGTGTCCCAGCAGCTGGACTCCTTCGATGAGTTCATCTCTTCGACGATGCAAGAACTGGTCGAGGAGCAAGGCCAGGTGACGCTCGATCAGACGATCCCGCCCGCGGAAGATGAAGTCGACCCCGTCGTTCTCCGCCGCTACGAGCTCAAGTTCGGCACCGTGATGCTGGCCCGACCGTCCATGACGGAAGGTGATGGAGCGACGAGTATCATGTTACCCATGGAGGCCCGCCACCGAAACCTGACCTACGCCAGTCCCCTTTATCTCGGAATCACGAAAAGGATCACCGAAGGCCGCGAGCGACCGATTGCGGATCGCGATGATGAGGACATGGGGGACGCTGATGAGGAGCGGAAGAATCGAGGCACATACCTGCACTGGGAACAGAAGGAGCTGCCGCCGGACCAAGCCGAAGAGGAGAACGTCTTCATTGGCAAGATGCCCATCATGCTCAAATCGAAGTACTGTATCCTCAAGGATCTGAGCGAGCAGGCTCTCTACAACTGGAACGAGTGCCCTTACGACTCCGGCGGTTACTTCATCATCAACGGAAGTGAGAAGGTTCTTATCGCGCAGGAACGGAGTGCTGGAAACATCGTCCAGGTCTTCAAGAAGGCACCGCCCAGCCCGACCCCCTATGTGGCGGAGATCCGAAGTGCTGTCGAGAAGGGTTCGCGGATCCTGTCGCAGCTGACTCTGAAGCTGTTTGCGAAAGGCGACACTGCCAAGGGAGGGTTTGGCCCAACGATCAGGTCGACGCTGCCCTACGTCAAGACCGACATACCCATTGTGGTCGTCTTCCGAGCACTGGGCGTTGTGTCGGACGAAGACATCTTGAATCACATCTGTTACGACCGAAATGATACCCCGATGATGGAGATGCTGAAGCCGTGTATCGAGGAAGGTTTTGTCATCCAGGATCGTGAAGTTGCGCTTGACTTTATCGCGAAGAGAGGATCATCACAGACGAGCATGAACCACGAAAGACGTGTGAGATACGCAAGGGAGATTATGCAGAAGGAGTTCCTTCCTCACATCTCACAAAGTGAGGGAAGTGAGACTCGGAAGGCTTTCTTCTTGGGCTACATGGTCCACAAACTTCTCCAGTGTGCCCTGGGTCGTCGCGATGTTGATGACCGAGACCACTTTGGCAAGAAACGTCTTGATCTAGCCGGTCCTCTGCTCGCAACTCTCTTCCGGACTCTCTTCACTAGGCTCACAAGAGACCTGCAGCGCTACGTGCAGCGGTGTGTTGAGACCAACCGCGAGATCTACTTGAACATTGGTGTCAAGGCCAGCACCCTGACGGGAGGCTTGAAATATGCCCTCGCCACCGGTAACTGGGGTGAGCAGAAGAAAGCGATGAGTTCCAAGGCTGGTGTGTCACAGGTGCTGAGTCGCTATACGTACGCCTCTACTCTGTCGCATCTTCGTCGAACCAACACCCCCATCGGTCGAGATGGAAAGATTGCCAAGCCCCGTCAGCTGCATAACACACACTGGGGTCTTGTTTGCCCTGCCGAGACGCCTGAAGGTCAGGCTTGTGGTCTGGTCAAGAATCTGGCGCTGATGTGCTACATTACTGTGGGTACGCCCAGCGAGCCCATCATCGACTTCATGATCCAGCGTAATATGGAAGTGCTGGAGGAGTTTGAGCCTCAAGTTACACCCAACGCCACTAAGGTGTTCGTCAACGGTGTTTGGGTCGGCGTACACCGTGATCCTACGCACCTGGTCAACACGATTCTCTCCCTTCGCCGGCGTAACATGATCTCCCACGAGGTCAGCTTGGTTCGGGACATCCGTGACCGGGAGTTCAAGATCTTCACCGATGCCGGTCGTGTCTGTCGGCCGCTCTTTGTCATTGACAATGACCCGAAGAGTGAAAACTGCGGAAACCTGGTTCTCAACAAGGACCATATCCGCAGACTGGAGATGGATCGGGAGTTGCCACCGGATTTGGATCCGGAAGAGCGGCGAGAACGGTATTTCGGCTGGGATGGTCTCGTCAAGTCGGGTGTCGTCGAATATGTGGATGCGGAAGAAGAGGAGACGATCATGATTGTCATGACCCCCGAGGATCTGGAGATCCAAAAGCAGCTCCAGGCAGGCTACGCATTGCCTGAGGAGAGCGGGGACCCGAACAAGCGAGTGCGTTCGGTTCTCAGCCAGAAGGCTCACACCTGGACGCACTGTGAGATCCACCCCAGCATGATCCTGGGTATCTGTGCCAGCATCATCCCCTTCCCCGACCACAACCAGTCTCCTCGTAACACCTATCAGTCTGCTATGGGTAAACAAGCTATGGGTGTCTTCCTGACCAACTTTGACCAGCGGATGGAGACGATGGCCAACATCCTGTACTATCCGCAGAAGCCACTGGCAACTACCCGATCTATGGAATTCCTCAAGTTCCGAGAGCTGCCGGCCGGCCAGAACGCCATCGTTGCCATCGCCTGCTACTCGGGCTACAACCAAGAAGATTCCGTTATTATGAACCAAAGCAGTATCGACCGCGGCCTGTTCCGCAGTTTGTTCTACCGCACCTACACGGAGAGCGAAAAGATGGTCGGCTTGACCGTCGTCGAGCGGTTCGAAAAGCCGATGCGGTCCGACACCATCGGTATGAGAAAGGGTACCTACGATAAGCTCGATGACGACGGTATCGTCTCACCGGGTGTTCGTGTGAACGGTGAGGATATCATCATCGGCAAGACGGCGCCTCTGGCACCCGAGTCCGAGGAGCTGGGTCAGAGAACCAAGGCTCACACGAAGCTGGACGTGTCTACGCCGCTGAGGGCGACCGAGTCGGGAATTGTCGATCAGGTCCTCATCACCACGAGCAACGACGATCTGAAGTTCGTCAAGGTCCGGATGCGGACGACCAAGATCCCGCAGATTGGCGACAAGTTCGCGTCTCGCCACGGACAGAAAGGAACGATCGGTATCACGTACCGACAAGAGGACATGCCCTTCACGCGAGAGGGCATTGTCCCCGATCTGATCATCAACCCGCACGCCATCCCGTCGCGGATGACCATTGCGCACTTGATCGAGTGCCAGCTCAGCAAGGTGTCGGCGCTGCGTGGGTTCGAAGGTGACGCGACGCCCTTCACGGACGTGACGGTCGACTCGATCTCGCGACTGCTCCGCGAGCACGGCTACCAGTCGCGTGGATTTGAGGTGATGTACAACGGTCATACGGGACGCAAGCTGGTCGCGCAGGTGTTCTTGGGCCCCACGTACTACCAGCGTCTGCGGCACATGGTCGACGATAAGATCCACGCCCGTGCCCGGGGACCGACGCAGATCCTGACGCGGCAGCCGGTGGAAGGTCGAGCGCGAGACGGTGGTCTGCGGTTCGGAGAGATGGAACGCGACTGTATGATCGCCCACGGCGCAAGTGCCTTCCTGAAGGAGCGTCTCTTTGATGTGTCGGACCCGTTCCGCGTCCACATCTGCGACGACTGCGGGTTGATGACACCGATAGCGTAAGTTCCCCTTCGATGGTTATGGTCTGCTTTTCTGCCGGATGACTAACGTGGAATCTCTGCAGGAAACTCAAGAAGGGCCTCTTCGAGTGTCGCTTGTGTAACAACAAGCACCGGATCTCGCAGGTCCACATTCCGTATGCCGCCAAGTTGCTCTTCCAGGAGTTGGCGGCCATGAACATTGCAGCGCGCATGTTCACCAACCGGTCCGGCGTGTCTGTGCGGTAACTCTATTCCTAGCGCTTATTATCCGGGCTTTTCCGTATGCAGTGATATTTTGATATTTGACCTTTCGATTACCAATGGCATGACAGGCATCGATGAGGCGTACAGCGTTTTTTTTATTTCTTTTCTTTTTCATTTACTAGTTAACCCTACAGTTGTTGGTGAAGAGACGGCAGGTATGCTTGCACATTCAGGCCATGGTTTGTATTTCTTTCTACTCGACAGTTGATTCCTGTATGAAAGACATGGCGCTGTTCTGTCCCCAGCCTGATTTGATCCGTGCACCCTGGCTGGTTGGCGACGCTAAATCTGTACTGTACTTTTAGAAAAGAATGCCCATAGACACATTGGCGATGACATTGACCGTGAGATAAGGTATCATTGCATGGAATCAGTCTCGAGTAGGCCATTCCAGAGGATGTTTCTGAGGATATCACCGTTGCTATGAGCCGGCAATGGGCAATGTAGCCATGCACGACGTGCATGAGCAGGAGGGTATAAAAATAGCCATCTGCATAGCACTACTGCAGAAGATATCTTCCTCAGGGCCGTGAGTGGTGCGCTGAATTCTGCCGGGGATCGCGGGCGCCTAACGGAGCAACGTCGTTGGGCGATCGGCCAGTCTCTGCCACGCCTCCGCTTTCCCCTCAGCAACAATCCTCTCTCACAATTAATTCATATTTCATTATTATTGATGCATTCGATCTTCTGATCGCAACCGTCTTGTCCAGACTCGTCCGGCAAGCCAATCATTCTCACGCTTTACCCGCCCATCAACATCCCCCGCCGTCTGTCTGCTGCCATTGGCGGAGGTTTTCTCTCCATCAGTTCGTCTACAGTCCTGTCAGCGCGAGACGACTGCAATGCCCGCAAGGCTGCATCGCTCAGCTGGACGCGCGCAGGCGTTCCCTGACTCCGGCTAATTGCTCTGGCTGCAGCTGGCCAGGATGGATGCCTCCCCCGCCGTGGTTGGTCCCCGCAACCCCCGGCACATAAGATCTCGCGATCGGCCGCTCGATTCTCAATTTTCTCTTCTTCTTCTTTTTCTTCTCCAGCAAGTCTCTTCTTTTTGTTTCTTTTCTTAGAGCTGCTGCCCTTGGTTTTGGAGTACCTGAGTGCACTGGTTGCACTTGGTCGTCGTGGTTGATCGTGTTTGTGTTTTTGTTTCCTTATTCGTTTATATTTGCTACACGCGACGAGCTGTGCTCGTTTATTAATCTCTCTCCCAGTCGCATTTGGGTACTTCTGAACCAGACAACCGATTCACAACGGCGGTGATCTGTCGCTGGTCGACAGTTGCGTTGTGCAAGCAGCTCTTCTTGCTCGAACCTTGGATATTGTCGTCAATATCAAGGTTCTTCAAGGTTCTTCAAGGTTCTTTTGCTTTGTTTTTTTGTTTTGTTTCTCGTGGGCAGGACCCTTGTCAATTTAATCGAAGAGACAGCGTACATACTGTCTCCGTTTTAATTTCGTCGTTAATACATCGCGATCGATTGTCTTGGTTGTTATTTTTTTTTTGACCGGCGACAATCGTCGATACGCTGTACAGAGGGTTGTTTGTTTCTCGATAGCCCTCTCCGTTAATTCTAATTGTTGACTTTGTTCGACTTCGGTCGCCGTGCAGTCACCCTGGAGAACCTAACAGTCGTCGCGACGACATCTTTCTGAAACTCCGAGGAACTTCTCCGTCGAAGAAGCTCTGTCCTATCCGTGCGATTTGAAACGGAAGTCTCTTCGACAAGTCTGCCCACATCACTTTTTACTTTCACTTATTTGATTCCATTTTTAATATCTATTTTTCGTCTCTCTGCAAAATGGCCGCTGTGCAACTGAGCTTTTCTATTCGCACTTCCAGCAGTGTCAAGACAGTCCATCTGGTGGGCTCCTGGGACAACTACTCCCGCCAGCTGCCTCTGTCCAAGGATCCCTCCAAGCCCGGCGCGTGGACGGGCAAGTTCCGCTTCCAGACTTCTGTTCTTCAGCTGGGTGGACGGTACTGGTATTACGTATGTCCCGTTGTCCTACCCTGATGCGCGGAGCAGAAAACTAATGGTGATAGTACATCATGGACGGGTACCATGTCTCTCACGACCCTGCCGTGGAATACACCGTCGAACCCACGACCGGTCGCAAGCTCAACATCCTCGACGTCCCGTATGGCAACGACTCTCCCACCAGCACCGGCCGTAGCCGCCGCGACTCGATGGACATCCCCAAGGGCCGTGCGCTGTCTCCGTCCAAGATCCAGCACCCCAAGCCGTCCAAGCCGTACGCCTCGCGCCAGATCCGCGAAGCCGACTTCGCCGCGCCGACGGTGGACCAACTCACCAGGCGGTTCGCCGAGTCGCGTCTGTCGGACGACTACTCGTACTCCAACAGCCCGCCCAGCTCCGTGGGCTCGTCGCTGTCCTCGCGCACCGACAGCTCATCCCCGTCGTCGCTGTCGTCGATGAGCGACCCGCCCACGCCGGTGTGTCGCTGCGAGCGGTACGGCATCACGCGCAAGGGCGACCGCGTCAAGCTCGACTGCGGCGGCAGCCGGTGCGGCTACACGGATTCGTCCGAGTCGAGCTGCTCGTCTGACTCGGAGTCTGATGACGACTATCGGAGGGCACGCCATGAAGTGCGACGACAGGGAATTGTTGTGCGGCGGTGAAATAATTAATCGTCTAGACGAGGGCCAAGAAGCTGGAAGACGAAGAAGAAAACGCTTTACGTTTTACGTGAAAATGTTGACCATTGCTCGCGGTGATTATTCACTCCCGTCGCTCCTTTGCCAACGAATTACGATTGAAAATTCGTTTTCGAGAAAAGCAGCCAGTCCACAACCACCGTCGTCAACACGCGTCGCAGTTATATCTATTCGTTTTGACAAAAACAAATCGAAAAAAAAAAAGTCCGATATCTGATAAATAATAATCTCGACAACCGAAACAACAAACAACAAAGCCGGTTGTGTTCGACGACAAGGCCAAGGACAGGGTCACTCCCTCCACAGTTGACCTGACCTGATCGAATCGCTTGAACGTTCACGAGTCCTGCAGGATAGAATCAGCCATCAAACCAGCCAGCCATCAAGCGAGCTGGTCTCGCTTCGTGGTGTGTTTGGTGTGGTGTGATGTGTCTTGTCTGGCCTCCTGTGGGGTTATTATCGTCAATGTTCGAGTCGAGTCGAGTCAGCAAGCAGCAACTGTGAAGGGTTACGTAACTCTATCACAGACACAGCCAGCATGCTACGACACGACACGATCAATCAATACCCGCTCCGTTGCTACACACAGTCAAGGCAATCAATGCATGCACGCGGTGGTGATTGTGGCACGGCCAGGCGGGATTTGAATCGAGACAAGACAAGACAAGACAAGACAACGCTGTGTATCGACGCATATTCCATTCCTCTGTGTCTGTCGCAAGGAAAGGAAAGGAAAGAGGAAGAAGAAAGCGTTGATACAGTACTCCCAGCGCACATACACAGAACATCAAACTCAAACAAGATCAAGCAAGAAACAAAATGATGATCAGGAAGATGATTGATTAATGGACACGGGCATGGGCAATAATTAATAACTGGGGACTATGTATGTAGCTAGTGATACACGTCAAGTCAAGTGCCTAAGTCTCTAGAGTAGGGTAGTGTAGGGTAGGAGGCAATCAATCATCAATCATCAATAATAAATAAATGAATGAATGAATGGACATTCACTCTCTTCTTCGTCTTCCGAGCAACTCACCAACAAAACCGAACCGAAAATAAGTAATTTTTTTCAAAAAAAAGGATTATTCACTGGCTCTGGTTAGTTAAAATCATTCTGATTCTGTTCCTGATTTTCTATATATAACTTCAATAACGTAACGCAACGGTATGTGGAAACTCCATGCTTATCTACATACATATGTACAGTACAGTACATACATACATCATACATGTATTAGTTCTAGATCTTCTACTTGAGTTCTAGGGTTAATAATAATGAGAAAAGGATGACAATGACAATGACGAACACGATGACAAAGATGAGGATGGATTTAGATGAGAAGGTATTTATTTATCGATGATAAGTAAACCAGCAAGAAAAATAAATAAATAAAAAATAAATAGATACATGGTATGGAGATATCTTTCACTGCACAGCAGTGAAGTGAGTGTGTGAGTGAATCAGGAATCATCGTATCAGATAGGAAGGAAGGAAGGAAGGAAAGAAAACACCAGATCTCATTTCCTTCCCATTTTCCTTTTCCCTTCCGTATTGATCGATTTCCTTCGTATCGAGTCTGAGTCTGCTTCCCGGACCAGTATATTCCATTCATTCCATTACGCTCTATTCCATGACACGTGGACATTTTATTTCATCAAGAAATGAATAAATGTCCACCTCCATCCCTCGAATCAGATTGCTTGCACCATGCGCATCCAGCGAGCAAATAAAGCGCAAGTAAAAGACCGGCTTTTTCTTGCTTTTCTTTTGCTCGATGGCAGACGACAGACAGACAAGCAGACAGACAGATAGATGATGTGTGTGTGAGGCCTGCTCAGATCCATACATTCTTTCTTTCTTTCTTTCTGGCTTCTGACGTCTGGCATATGTGTTGCGTGCACTGCACTGCTGAACGAATGCGATTCGAATGAGATGATAGAGAGGAAAAAAGAGAGGGAAGGACTAAACATGGAATAGATGGAATGAATGGAATGAATAAATGACTCTCACACAGATAGCGCACAGCGCTTTAGCCACTAGACAATAGAAAGATGGGATAGAAACATGGAAGATAGGAGATGCTTTGCAGAGGAGACCAGTCCTCTTGTGACAAACGAAGGCATGAACAGAAAACACAGGAAAAAGAAAGAAACAAAACGCTCAAAGAAAACACGCTAAAGACAACAACGCTCAAAATAGTTGGACACCCGAAATCAGATAACGAATGAAAGAACAACTCCCTGAAAATGCAGCAAATGCAGCAAATGCAGCAAGCCCGTCTAATGCGTACACCCAAACCCGACAGAATGCACTTTTATGTATGCCAGTACCAAAAAGAAAGTCTGCAGTCCAGCTCATACTCGACTGCTCCTCACGTGATTCTTGACTCATAACCATGCATGCATGACCCATGTGACTCGTGACCCGTGACATGACACATGATTCCATACCCGTTGACGTCGTTCCATCAGGTGTCTAGGCGTAGCATTCACGACCGGAAAGTGACTCGCTGAAACTTCCTCCCCAGACGTCCTTTCTCTCCAGGAGGGTCGTCCGTGGAGGCCGTATCATGAAATCGAGAACCCTCCGGTCATGCAGCCGAGGTACAGGGCACCGTGATGAACGAACGATGTGAGGGCCGGCAAGTTCCGCTGTCGAAAAGAAAGACGGAATGATTGGAGAGGAGCTCGAGAATTGAAGAAAATAAAAAGAAGAAACGAAGCGATCCAGCGCTTCTCTAGCGAATGACCCAGCCATGAATCTGGCTATGGCGCGCCCAGCACGGCGCCAGACTCGGAGCTGACGACCCAGACTCTTTCCCAATGACTGAATTGCGTTCCTCCGCGTTCCGAAGCCCACATCCCCCGAAACCCATTACCGACATCGTAGTCACTCCGGTCGCGAGACTCTTTACCGAAAAGAGCCCTTGGGGTTGGGATGAGAGGCACTGCCTCGTCGGACAGAATGTGCAGGACAGGCGTAGCCGACTAGCACGGTCTTTTCTTGGACGACATGGCCTCGCTGACCGTAGGCCTCGCATGGGTCGACCGCATGTTGGAAGTAGAGGCAGCGACACACGGAGTATCGCTCAACAACTTGATAGCACATGATGAAGTAAAAATAGACAAGAAAATCTCAGACAGTAATGCAATTGCGATCGAAGGATTAATTGACTGGCTCACGACTCGACCAGTCAAGTGAGAAGAATTATATAATAAAGGGTGTTTGGAGACCGGCCCTGGAGAATCGTTGGCAAGCGATAGGACAAAACAGACGGACTCAGAAACAGACACTATAATTAAACCCAACTGGGATAGAAGACAGAAGATAGGGTTCAACGAACGGCGCGTGCACTGCTGGAAGACAGGAGGGTTTGAGGGTGGCACAGTTGGATCATTTATATCTACATCTTTCCGACTCATCCACGCAGGAACAGCCGGGCAAGCCGCCAACGATGGCGGATGCATGCAGCGTCAGGGACGTTGACAAACGCATCTGCAAGGCGCCCGCCGGCCTGGAAAGTGGTATTTTTGTCCAGGCCGCAATTGTTAAAACCGAGGTCAGAAGAAATGGAGATGAGACAAGCAGGCATCCCCACCGAAGGGCAATGGCAGTCGCTATACCGAATCAGTCCAGAACAGGCGCGACTGTTCCCTGCACAGCCTGGAGCTTGACTGGGGGGATGTTCCTGGTCACGGACAAGCCCGAAAGGGCATGGCATCTATCGTCAAGCCAGCCAGCCAGCCAGCCGATGACGGGCTTGGATGCTGCTGCTGCTTAGCCACACACGCCTCATCGCGCCTTTGTTTCGCCGCCTTACCCAGGGCGACGGATCGGAGAGTGGGAACGGGCTAGGGGATCGAACGGCCAGCAATTCGCTCGCTGACGGGCCAAGAAACAGCCGGTCGCGGCCGGGGGGAACCCTCGATGACGCCGTTGTGGGATTCAGCTCGATTGGCGATCGACGGGCCACGGCTTATCCACCGTGCTGGGCCGGAGGGATCTATTCATGGCAGGCCAGCGGTCAGGACAGAGCAATTCAGTACGTTAGAGTCATCAATATTACCGCGGATCCGGGAACTGGGAACGGGGCGTGACAAGGGCCATGATGGACGTGTATTAGAGCGCTCGATCCCCGGCATCGTCCTAAGCGATCGGTCTCTGATTTGTCCGTGGGCCGGGCACCTGCAGCAGTTCAGCTAGACACGTCCTGATGGACACTCGATCACTGGTGACTCAAGCTGAAGGCACTGCACGCCTGCAGGCCCCCGCAAAACCCTTGAGCAGACAGCGCGGCGAGGGCGAGGAGTTGGAGTTCCTGACTCACGTGTCTCGCATACTCAACTCGGTGACTAACTACAAGCAGGCATCCACTGCGCGCACACTCACTGCTGCAGCAGGCAGACAATCCAGATACGCTCGAGGTGAGTTTCCTATTGGCAGCAAATGTTGGCTTGTGGATTAACAAATTACTAATAATGAGCGCTGTCATCGTTCAGGCCTGACGGCCACAGCTCCGGCGCCTGTTGCTATTCTTGTGGCAGCACCCAACACACTGCCCAATGCTGTCATGCTTCCATTCCATTTCGAGCCAGACGGGTCTCCAGAATACCTCTTGTTTCGAACGGTGTGGCTAATACGGCGGGGTATGTGGAACGACCCTCTTTCCCCTCCGTGGCAACCGGCGAGTCTTGGGAAATAACGTGGATTCTGTGTGGCTGAGTGGCTGTACGGTGCTAGTCGTGGCATACACTTGGCACTGTGATTACTCACCCCCGAGGTTTGCGGCTCCAGTCTATTACTCAGTCGAACTACTGCTGATCCATCTCTACTTGGTACCTGACACCTGACTCCGATCATCACCGATCCACTGCGAACTCGTCATTCGCACGAATCGTACGGAATCAAAGAGAAGACTCGTGCCTCTCCTGCAGTTCTTGTTCTAGCCTTGCGCCCGGCGTGGTCTTGATGGTGTTCAGCCGGGCTCGACAACCCCACCGGCGTCAGCTGAGCCTCTCTGAAGCCCGTCGACCAAAGCCGGTCCAAAGCCGGTCAACGAGGTCTCTCGGCCTCTGTGCTGACTAAGCATCCCTCTGCTTCGCATGTCGCATGCCTTGGAACTCTCCGAGTCCCGACTTGGCCAGGAACGATTCCGCGGTTTGCTTTACAGTGCCTGGGCAGCTTGGGCTTGTTTGCTAAGGAGTCAATTCCGTGTGGTGCCTACGCGGTATCGTTGACGTGGAACAAACACTGCAAACAGCACAACAAAACAACAGGACTCTGTACATACGTACGTCCGCACACACAGCAAAGCCGCGTCGTCTTGCCGGGCCTTCTCAACACAGAACAATGGAGAATGTTCGACCTCGACCAAGGTCCACAACTGGCGACTATGACGATGCTGATGCAAGGACAGAGAGACGGTGAAGAGGCCGCAGAGCTGCCAGGGCGGCCTAGTCAGCCCTACGGCGCCGGTGCACCTTGCCTGTTTGGGAAAGGTGTGGCTGTCTCAGCCACACTGGAGCTCCACAGTTCGGAGGCATTGACCAATCACGCCCGCCGACGCCCGTCCATGCGGTGAGCAGAGCATCCCGAGGCCTTCGACTGCCCGTCTGTGACTTCATCGCTCGACTTGTCTCTATCCTGGACGGTCTGCTGCGTCATGATGGCTTCGAGAAACGGTTCTCCTGCCAGGTCTGTTCACCGTTCCAGGCGCCTAAAGGTTGTGCCGGTTATTTCGGTTGAACGCCCGGTCAGAACTCGCTGGGGATCGCCGTCTCTATAGAGGCTTGGGCGTGGTCATGCACTGGCGACTGGGCCATTTCATGGTCAATTGTTTCTTTGTTGTATTCAATACAATACAGGATGCTGCGCGGAGCACCGTCATTGTCGGTCGTGCAGGAGGCTTGGATGCTCTCGTGAATACCACATATCAGGCCAGCTCGGTGATGACATGACAATATGCCGTCAAGAGAATGAAGCGCATAAGGTCTAGCCCAGTCTTCTGGATTTCTCACCATCACTGTTGCTTGTTATTGGGTAGGCAGACGCCACCAGTACAGACCGCCAGACCATTTTTTACCACCCCTGCGCATGATTCTACCAGATTCGGATGCAAGAGCTGGCTGTGAGAGAATATGGTTTCTACCGTCAGACAATTTTCTTTACTGATTTCCGTATCAATTCGACCAGGTCTGAGGTGTTTGCCTCAGCCCTATGCAGAGAGAGCACTTACAGGTTGACGCCTAATCTATCCTTCCCTCCTGATGGTGGTCATCCGTGACCGGGACCACGGTCTCGGTACCAGACTAGGCCTGATCGCCACCTCTGCGTGTCATAGAGGGCTGTAGGTCCGGGACCAAGGTAAGATATCTTTGCGCTATTCTGGGTTCATCTAGGTCAATGCTGCCAGCCACATCCTTGCTCATCAAGTGGCGATGTCACTGTCACAGACGACAGCTGGACGTTCCACGGCATGTCCAATCTAAGATAAACGAACGATCAGGCGAGGCAAGATCATCTTCGTACATGTAGGGCTGGGCCGCTCCACTTGGCTACAGGCGACCATGTCAAGAACCAGCTGAAAGTGGAAACTACTGACCTGTCGTAGTAGTAGTAGTAGTAGTAGTAGTAGTAGTAGTAGTAGTGGTGGTGGTGGTGGTGGTGGTGGTGGTGGTAGTAGTACTTGCTCATTCTGCAGTTCGAGGTAATAGTGCTGTTTGCCGCAGCTGATTGTACTCGTATGACAATCTATTCCACTATCTTTTTCAATTCAATTAATTCATTTCAATACAATACACACAGACAGCTGTCCCTGTCCTGCTGTAAAGTAAAGTAAAGAAACACGAGTTATTCGTCATTTTCATCAGCTACATGTAAGATACTTAAGTAGGGACAAAGAGGATAAATCTGTCTCAGCCTTGTTGTCTGTCCCATGTATGTAACTGAGTTGAGTTTCGGCAATATCCTTCCTTCCTTGATCTGCATGCTGGTGCACCCATTCGCATCCTGTCGAAAAAAGTCCCTTGATCTCAGCATCTATGAGATGTACTATTAATAGCCACCGTCTGTTCAAAGACGATCTACTTACGGAGTACTGACAATAGTCACATGACCGTGTAATATAATACGACAATTATGTAATTGTATTTTTGACTATAAGTACCCTCCTATACAGCAGAGACAGATGCACGAGATGCAATACCCGAATGCAATGCCATAAATGCTCCTCAGCCAGCTACCCCAACGCCGCAAAACTCATACCCTTGGCTAGACCAAGGCGCAGGATCCGAAGCACGTCTTCCGCCTTGGCGTCTTCGGGGAGCCCGGCCCTCCAGTCCCAGCCACGCTTGATTCCTGCGAGATTATGATTCTCGCCGGGACGAGGGACCAGGACTCCCGAGGCGGATTCTAGTCCCCCGCCGTTAGAACGGCCCTGCGGGTCGAGCATCTCGCTCCCGATCAGAGAGAAGCTGCTCGACACTGTGAGATCAGACACGGACTTCTTGAGAAGAGTCCGGGAGAGGGCGGAAGGGCGAACGATTGAGACGCGGATGCATCCTCTGGATCGGCACCGCGCTCGTACCGGTGGTAATGGATCAGCGTCGCCCGGAAACACTCCTCGCATTGCGCGTACACACGCCGAGTCACCGTCTCCAGGTCCTCAATCGCGGACAGAATGGCAGATTGCTGTGCAACGTTGAGAATAGGAGCCGCCGACTCTGTCACATGCATTAGCATACACTTAAGCTAGATTAAGCTAGCAAATCACGCCACTCACCATTAACGAAGACCAATGCCTCTCCGAGAAGCGCCAACAGCCCGTCGACCTGCACAGCAGAGTCCCGGTCAGGATCGTAAAGCCCGCCATAGATGCTATCGGCGGCACTCTGGATCACCGTAACCAGCGCGTTAGCAGCAGCCCTCTTTCTCGCCAGCGGCTTGAGTCGTGGCGCCTGCCCATCCGTCGCCGTGACGGCCTCATCACGAGTCTCGTAGAATCGGCGCAACGTGGCATAACCACTAACATAAAACTGCAAAATGCGGGCAGCTTCACTGTCGACGGAAGCGATGGCCGATAGACATGCCTTAGGCTGCCGCAGTAGCGTCCTAAGCTGCTCGTCCAGTTTCTCAGCCGGGGGGTACGCGCGGGACTGAACCAGCGAGCACGAGATCAGCAGGTCCACCACCGCCTTTGTTTTGTGTTTCGAATGGGCGCGAGCATAGCAGATCAGCGCCAGCCCGTATTCTTCGGATGTATCGACGATCTGGTCACCGTATTTCTACAATATCGTTAGTACTACAACATCCACCTAAAAAAGAAGCCTGAACCTACCTCGGATATCTTCCTACCCTCATTCTCCAACCCTAGATCGGTGCACAGGAGAACCACCTTATCCACTCGGTCAATGTTTTCAAGCGGTAGCTTATCCAACAGCTCAGACACCGTCTTCCGCATCGTGTCTGCATCATCCAATCGACTGAGCACTTCCAAGGCGATCTCCCAGCCTTCCCTCACGACGGAATCGTTCCCAAGGGTGGGCCTTCGGAACAGACCATTCGCATACGCGGTCAGGGTGTCGTCCTTGCGCAGGCGTCCGAGCGCCGTGTTTCCATCCTGACCATACGACAGAACCATCAGGTCGTTTTCACTGAGGAAGCCTGACAGTGGCTTCGACCCCCCAGACGTCTCCCACCAGCCGCCAAAAGAGGCAACCTCAGCCACCGCAGATGCAATGCATAGCGACCACGTTTGCAGAAGCTGCAGAACACCTTCGACGTTCCCCTCGAAGACGGATGCCAGGCCGACTTCGAGTGTGTTGAGAGAGTTGGGCTGATATCCGGCCTTGCCCGATGTGTCCTCGGTGACAGCGCCAAAGCTATAGTCAAGACGTCGGATATAGGCGTCCTGCAAGTTCGCATCCCCGGGTCGGGCGCTTGGTGATTTGGTCTTCGAGCTCTTGTTGCTCGTCGTACTGGCACCGAAACCATTCGTGCTCTGTGCAAAGGGGTCGCTGTCATCCTCGCCATCCCACCACGCTGTCAAACCGATCGTCGCCTCCACCCAGTCCTGTGCCTGTGCCATGATCGCAGGAGGTTGTCCAAGGATGATACCATATAGTCCCTTGAGGTTCTGATAGATCGACCACGGGACACGACTTTCCGCCATGCGCGATGACTGTGTGAACGAAAAACCGTTCTGTGCCAGACTTGGGCCCTGAGACATGCCGAAATTGACCGCTTGGAAACGAGGTCCTCCGCCTACTGCTGGCTGTGGCGGGTCCTGTCCCTCGGCGAATTCTTCCAGCTCCTGAAGAGCAGAATTAACCCGTTTTCTGTACGCGGCCCATTCAACGCCCGTTACGTCCCAGTCATCGTGCTGGACAAGCGGAGACGACTCGAGCAGCTGGATAGCTTTGTTGACAGATTTCTGGATATTCTGCAGCTGCGCACCACGGTATCCTGGCTGCGCAAGGCCATCCTCCAATGCAGACCTGGCGTAGTTGAAGTCCGCGGACCGAAGAAGCTCTGCGGTTTCTGCAAAGCGGCCACGTAGAATAGCAGCCTGAACAGTGTTCCAGAAATTTGGCGAGGCCGTAGGATTTGGACCGACCGCACGCAGTGCCTGTACCTCGTCTGTCTGAGGACCGTGGTTCTCGTTGAGCCAGTCTATCAACACTTTGGGTATAGGGACATATGTTTTAGCGTTAGATCCGGACAGGACGAGGCTTCGACTGGCTGCACGGATAGCAGAACTCTTTTGGTTGCCCGCGCCGACATTGACCAGAGGACGCTGATGAAGCGGCAAAAGCAACGAAGCCAGAAAGCTAGCTTTCTCGATGCCCGTCGCGCTCTCTCCAGGCCCAATACCGCCGGCTGCACGGAACGGACGCGATTCCTGCCTTTCCCTCTCCGCGCATGAATTCCAAACTTGCGTCAGAGCCGTGGAAACTTCCGACAGGGTCGCTGCGAGGTCGATCTCTCTGTATTCCGCCTCTCGAGCCTTGTCGTACAGTTCACCGATTTGCTCCTCCGTCTCGACGATCATGTCACTGGGCTCCGTAACCGCTGCGACACTTGATCGGGAAGCGATATCTCGAACGATCGACGGCATTGGGGACGGCTTTTTTCCTGGGGCCGAGCTTGAACTTCACCGCTGACGGCGACGAGGTGGCCCACCGCTCGTCGAGTTTCGCACGCTTGGCATTGTTGGGGTTGGAGTAAATCAGCTTCTTCTTGCCAGTTGAAGTAGAACGAGCAGGAGAGTTGCGCAGCGGCGAGTCGAAAAACCCAAAGCGGGAGCAGAAGTATTATTCGTAGTTTCCACGTCCATATCACCGTCGGCGTCTTCCTCCTCGGCGTCTTCCTCCTCAGCGTCCTCTTCTTCTTCCTCCTCCCCCTCTTCTTCTCCCTCACTCTCTTGCTCCTCTTCCTCGTCTTCGTAGTCTTCGTCCTCGTTCTCAGCATCGTCCTCGTCATCGTCCGTTCGCTCGCTGATGCCACTCATATTACGTCCACGATTACCGAATCCGCCAAAACTGCTGCCGTTCGTGGTACTGAAGAGCGACTGACCGCCAAAGGAATTTCCCGCCCTGCCATTTTTCTTCGTGCCGGGCAACGGATAGTTCGACGATGCAAACGAGGAACCAAGGCTCTCGGACCCGTCAAAATTGCCGGACTGACTGAATGCCGACTGGGAAAAGCTGAGCTTCGACCGTGAGCCGATTCCAGAGCTCCCAAACACAGTAGACGGCGGAGGGCCCTGGGGAGTGAAGGAGGCTACGGAAGACGGAGGCGGGCCAGCTGGCGTGGTGGATTGATTGCTGGCGAGACTGCGCGATTTATCGGGAGTCGACGGCGGACTCGAGCTAAGCGGGACGCTGAAAGCCATCTCGGTCTGCGGTTGAGAGTGCGCTCAGGTGGGTGGTTCAAAGGCGAGCGGCGAGGAGGCCAGGCATGAGGAATGAATTATTAGCAATGAACAAAGGATGACCTCCGAATGAACGGAGGGAGTCGAAAAGATGAGACGAATTGCAGAAAACCAGTACGGAGGATGCGACTGGTTATAACGGGATCATGGGGGAAAGAGTCTCGTGGGAGACAAACAGTGAATGACTGGAATTTGGTTTATTATTCTGCTGCTGTCGCTGAAAAATCCCCGACCGCCGTCGCTGCTCGCGCTCAACACGCCGGCAGACGCGCCCGCCTTGGCAACCGCTGCGTCATGTGACATCACCTGATTCGTGCCTGACAGTCGTTGATGCCTCAGGCTGACATAGACCTGTTGGCTGGCATTGAACTCGCACACTCTTACTCGAGAAAAAAAAATCGAGACATGACGTATCCGATCCAGTACGTCGCTTATTTATGTGAATATTGATTCATTTACCGTCAACAGTAGATGGACGCATCCGCCTTTTGATGATTCCATTGAGGATACACCTTGCTCATCTCTCTTGCTTCTATCTTAACAGAACAGTCCCTTGGCCCGGGTCTTTGCAAGTTCGCTGAGATATGCTTCTTTGAGCCTTGCACTATTATTAGAATAACGACTAAGAAGCTATACAAGGTCAGGCAGAAGGATGATATATATAGCACGCGGGTCTGTCATATACGATGTGAGCAGCACACGTTTATTCCATGTTCTAATTCGTGCAAGACTAACAGGCGAAAAGATAACAAATCCATGAAGTTGCCTTCGTTCTGTATTTAATCTCAGTGATGGACGTTTTCTGATTGACAATCAGATAATCGTCGGTGGTCACTATGCCCAAGTGGGGCGTGTGGGTTTCATCCTACTCCGAACTCCACAAATACAGCTAGGTAGTTCTAAGTTATATTGCAGCCTAAGAGTTTGAAACATCCAGATCCTTGCGCTGTGCAAGATTTATTCGGCTTTTATATGATCAGTCGCGTGGTCGACCTGAATCGCATCAAGCCCAGCGCTCGGGTCGAGATGAGGAATCTCGCGTGTTGCACCAATGCCCACCCGACGAAGCCATGCAAAGTCACGTCACGGCTGTCTAGCTTGCAAGACCAGGAAAGTCAAGGTATGTGATTTAATTTATTTTGAGTCCAGAGTTATTCCTGCCTGTCTCTCGTGTTGGTCGTTTGATTGTTCTCGCCTGCCTTCTTGTTTTTCTCTTCGTCTCGTTTCACCTGCTTATATCCTGTTCCAGTGCGATGAAGTGCGGCCACAATGTAGCAACTGTGTGAAACGCCAGGTGGACTGTGAATATGCCTCGATCGGGCCGATTCTGTGGACGAATGGGGCCTCAAGCACAGCAGCGAGATCCTCGACGGCCTCATTGGCTTCTTCTCAGCAGTCAGACAGGACCACATCGGCAGAAAACGGTCTGAGGATCTTTGAAAACCTGTCCACGGAAAGTTCAGCCTCGATGCCCGCATCAAAAGAGCTCAACCTGGACGACTTGGAGTTGATGATGCAGTGGTGCAACTCGACATACCAGACGTCGTCACGAGACGAGAAGACAGACCACATCTGGCGAGTGCGCGTTCCTGAAGAGGCGTTATCCTACCCATTCCTCATGCACGGCATTCTGGCACTCTCAGCACTCCATCTGGCCCGCACAAGCAGCGACCCTCAAAAAAGGTCGAACTATCTCAACAGCGCCATATCGCATCAGGATCAGGGCCTGGCGGAATATCGAGGGCGACTGAACGACATCAACGCCGCCAATTGGCGGGCCATGTTTGTCTTCTCGACCATCGTCACCGTGTATGCTTTTGGCTATCCTCACCCGCCTGAATGGGAGGACCCATGGACGCCGGTGGATGATCTCCGTCAGGTTCTCCTGTTGACCCGTGGCGTGCAGGTGGTGCTCAGTACGACAATCCCGTGGGTGGAAAGAAGTGAATTCGCCATCATTCTGCAGATCGATGACCAGGTCCATCCCGTTCCAGACGCGGTCCAGGCGGCCCTGGATCGACTTTCCGAGATGAACGACATCTGCGCCCAGCAGCAGATGGAGCACCACGATCACGAGGCGTGTGCGATTGCCATCGAGCAACTGGGTGTTATGTTTGGCGAGTTTGAGAAGGAAGCTCCCTCACTGAAGAACATAGCGGCACGATGGGCTATCAAGGTGGCGGGGCGGTATTTCGACTGTCTGCAAGCCAGATCGCCTTTAGCCCTAGTGATCCTTGCCCATTATTGTCTGATCCTCCACCGGCTCAGGGAATTTTGGTGGGCAGAGGGGTGGAGCACCCGGGTTTTGAGAGCGATATGGGTATTAGTGGATGATCGATGGCGGCAATTGATGTCCTGGGTCATGGAGGAGGTGTTTGGTCCTGGATTTTCGGACATTATCGCAACGTCAGGGGCAGCAATACAAACTTAGCGTAACGCTCAATATGGACTTGCAGCGCCTTCAGCAATTGGAATTTAAGCCCTGTATACTGGCCCTAGACAGAATTTAAGAATACTGCTAAGAGGGTCTTAGCAATCTATTTCTCGAACGCTGTGATGTGTTTTGTCTCTTCACAGTCACTTATGTTTCGTATACGGATGATTAATGGTAGATAACTCATATCTTGGAAGTTACAATACCCAGGTACAATAGTATTGACAACGATTATGCAAAAAGCCCCGTCTATCTTTTTTTTTCTTTTAATCCCCTATCATTTTAATTTATATGGCTGCCTCTGAATTAATAATATTCCATAGGGCATAAGTTCCATGTTCCGATTTGCGAAAGCTTACCTACCTAGGTACCTACTTAATCCAAAAGAAGTAAAGAATACGGAACGGGCCTTATCCAGTGCAAAACCTTAATGATGCTTAATTAACGTGAAAACGAAGCTAAATTTAGCATTCGTTCCAGACCTGCACGTTACACACAAATCAGGCAATAAATACGGAACCATAACAAAGCCCCCAGCTCATCACAGAATATGGCAGAAGACAAGCCTCTTAATGGATTGATTAATCCTCATTATCTTTTCACTCCACTGAAATTGTATCAATGGGCTGTGCAGGATAGGTACTGTACATAGTTCCTCCATGCAAGCTTTTCAGGTCCACCTACCAAATACAACATACTATACCGAATACGGCAAAAAGTACGAAAACGAACAAGCATACGGAGTATCCACAGCCTTAAATAGGTAGCAACAAATCTGGAGTAATGACAACAGTTAAGCTACGACTATTGTGAAACGCTTATCTGAAGATGAAGAAAGAAAAAAAATGAAGAGTTATTATTGTTGCCTACGACAACTCAGCATAGCCAGGCCAGGACTCCACCACGATGGAGACAGGAAGAGTGATGTGGATATAAGTATATAAGATGCCACGATCCACGAAGGGAATTGTCTTCTGTCTTTGCTCTTCAGGTTTTTTTTTATCGTTGACTGAAGTATACCAATTGATCATATTTTATTTTTCTGGTTGTTATTATATAGCAGCAGAACGCCAATCTTATACAGGACATCGGATACCGTCAACATCATTTACCTATCTATTTTGCTACCACCATCGCAATGAGTTCCAGTCATGGCGGCTGGGTCGCCTACAAGTACTACCCGTCCATGGCGGCGGCGGTGATTTTCATCCTTCTCTTCCTGGCAGCGACTGCTCTGCATACGTACCATGTCTTTCGCACGCGGACCTGGTTCTTTATTCCGTTCATCATTGGTGGGATATGTGAGTACAAACATATGTGACTATGTTCTTTCAACAAGGCTATTGCTTACGGTGATATCTGCCATCTAGTCGAGACAATTGGCTACGTCGGTCGCGCCGTCTCCTCGCATCAATCGCCCAATTGGGCCCTTGGCCCGTATATCCTCCAAAGCACGCTGCTGCTGGTGGCACCCGCCCTGTTCGCGGCCAGCATCTACATGGAGCTGGGGAGGATCATTGTGCTGGTCCATGGAGAGAAACACTCCCTTGTGCGGGTCACCTGGATGACCAAGATTTTTGTTGCTGGGGATGTCTTGTCGTTCTTGATGCAGGCGTCTGGTATGCTAAACCAAACCCTTAAAGCGGTACCTACGTAGGTACCTAGTCATAGTCAGTATCTCTAATTCAACACAGGAGCCGGCCTCTTAGCGTCGAAAGGCACCGCCACCAACAATACAGGCAACAACGTCATCATCGGAGGTCTCTTCGTGCAGATCATCTTCTTCGGATTCTTCCTCGTCAGCGCCGTCGTCTTCCAGCGCCGGATCGCCAGACGCCCGACACCGCAGTCCCAGGCCGAGTACATCCCCTGGCGCAAGCACCTGCTCGCCCTGCACGGCAGCAGCGTGCTCATCCTGATCCGATCCATTTTCCGTGTGGTCGAGTACCTCCAGGGCCAGGACGGGTATCTGCTGACGACGGAGGCGTTCCTGTACGTGTTTGATGCGCTGCTGATGTTCTCCGTGATGGTCGTGTTTGCTGCTGTGCATCCCAGTGAAATCAACTGTCTTCTGGGGCGAGGGCGCGTGATGACTACCAAGGGCGGATTGGCTGTTTCTGAATTTGTTGTGCCGGTGTAGAGTATTTTTCTATTTTGTCCATCTTTTTGCGATTACTCCTTACAGTCTTTCTTCTTCCCACCCCCCCCCCCCCCCTTCCCGGACTTGCAGATAATGAGTATATGATTTTCAAGAGCGCCAAATTAGATTGTGGATAGTCTTTAGACCATAGAAGAACTGATAGCAATTGAAAATAGCACTTGGTGTCAATGCATTCCTTTATACCTGAAATAGTAAGGGTTGGTAAGCGACCACATGCCAAACTACCTTGCATGATAGAAAGTGTCAGGCTGTATGGCTCATCTCTGTAGGAACAGCAGATCTTCGATTCTTGGATCTATAGCTAGAATCGCTTTTGATTTGTAGGGTAAAATTAGACAGTGTCGCAAATACAGGATAGAATGTAAGCCATATCTTCATTGACAGAACGCAATAATAGCAAGGAAAGACATTTAAGCGTGTAGCTCTTACTCCGAGATGCTTTATAATATAGGCCTTCTTAGGTAAGTATACCAATTCGACATCTCATTGGCAGATAGGCGAGGTGACACGTGCTCATCTCGTGGTTTGCACGTGGACAGCCACTTGCATGTGACCGCTCTCGCGGTCTGACTACCTTACCTATGTAGGATGGATGAGCTCTGCCTATAGCAAGGCATAGATTAATCATCCCTTCCAGTGGAATACTTCTGAGTAAGCCAAGCTGCCTGCAAGCAAGCAACAGCCTCGAGTGGACGGAAAAATTCACGGAGACAATTTCCCCGCAGAGCCGGCGAGGCAGTCTCCACTCCTCCGTCTGGGGAAGGAAGCACCGTCCGTGGCCGCCCCGGAAAAATCCCCGCCCTCCGCGTGCAAGACTCGCGAATGGCCAGCGAATCGACTGGTTAAGTCCAGCCAAGCGCACGCCATGGCAGGTCGCGCAGCACATGGTCGACCTCGACCCATGCACCGCGTCAGAGCACTGTATAAAAGAAGGCCCACGACCTGGACGCTATGGCGACCTTCTGTCGTTTAGAATCCCTCCCGCCGGCCACGTTGTCTGCCAGCTGCCACCATGGGTTTCTTCAAGAACTACCGTGTCTACATCCTCACCTCGGTAGCCTATCTGGGCTCCCTGCTCTTCGGTGCGCAGCTTCTTCTGTTTTGTTCCCGCTCTGGCAACTGCTAATCCCAGTCTTGCAGGCTATGACACGGGTGTGATGGGCAGTGTCCTGGCTCTGAAGAGCTTCAAGAAGGACTTTGGCCTCCCCACCGACTCTAGCGGGTTCGCCTCCAGCAAGAATGCCCAAGTCTCCGCCAATGTGGTGTCGCTCCTCACGGCAGGCTGCTTCTTCGGTTCCATCTTTGCTGCCGTCCTGAACGACCGCATCGGGCGTCGGTATTCGCTGATGCTCTTCTCCGTCGTGTTTTTGCTCGGCGCGGCGCTCCAGGTCGGCGCACACCACGACATCGGGATGATCTACGGCGGCCGTGTGGTGGCCGGTCTGGGTATCGGCGGCATGTCCAGTATCACGCCCGTGTTCGTCAGTGAGAACTGTCCTCCGCAGATCCGTGGTCGGGTGGCAGGCCTGTTCCAGGAATTCCTCGTGATCGGCAGCACCTTTGCCTTCTGGCTGGACTACGGCGTTTCGCTCCATATTCCCGAGGGCACCAAGCAGTGGCGGATCCCCGTTGCGATTCAGCTCATCCCGGGTGGCCTCATGCTGATTGGGCTCTTCTTCCTCACGGAATCGCCCCGGTGGCTCATGAAGCAGGGCCGGCACGAGGAGGCAGTCCAGTCTCTGGCGTACATCCGAAACGAGCCCACCAACAGCGAAGTGGTCGAGAAGGAAATTGCCGAGATCAGGGCCTCTCTGGAAGAGGAGCTGGCGGCCACCGAGGGCGTCACCTGGAAAGAGGCGTTGCGCAAGGGCAACCGCTACCGTTTCTTCCTGGCCTTCTGCATCATGTTCTGGCAGCAGTTCTCCGGTACCAACAGCATCGGATACTACGCGCCCGAGATTTTCGAGACGGTTGGCGTCAGCAAGACCAACTCGTCCCTCTTCGCGACGGGTGTGTACGGCACGGTCAAGGTCGTGGCGACCTTGGTCTTCCTGCTCATCGGTATCGACTTCTGGGGCCGCAAGAACAGTCTGGTCGGCGGCGCTATCTGGATGGCCAGCATGATGTTCATCATCGGCGCGGTACTGGCCACTCACCCACCTGACACGAACAGCGACGTCGTCTCCAAAGCATCGATCGCCATGGTGACGATGATCTACCTGTACGTGATCGGATATTCGGCCTCGTGGGGTCCAACTCCATGGGTCTACCTCAGTGAAGTAAGTCTGACCATGGCACCTGTCCCTGGTTGCTTGTCTGCTAACCACAGCTTAGATCTTCCCCACACGCCTCCGTGCGTATGGCGTCGGAGTCGGCGCCGCCACGCAATGGCTCTTCAACTTCGTCATCACGGAGATCACCCCAACGGCGGTCAACCACATCGGGTGGCGGACCTTCCTGATGTTCGGCATCTTCTGCCTGGCCATGGGCGTGTTTGTGTTTGTCTTCGTGAAGGAGACCAAGAACCGCAGTCTGGAGGACATGGACGTCCTGTTTGGCACGGTCGACGAGGCGCAGCGCCGCGCCGATGTCGAGCAAGTCCTTCACAAGGGCTTGGTGTCGCATGTCGAGGATGCAACGCAATCAAAAAGTCAGTAACATCAATCTGTAACTGACCAGATATATGTCATGAATGAAGGGCCTGAATGTGCGGTACGAATGATCAAGTACGTAAGTTACTTACAAGTTACTTGCTCGTGTGTTGTGCTGGGTTTATGAATATGTATTATTCTGTCAACTTGATGACACTCTTTTTACAAAAACAGGTACTGTATATGCTTGTAGTCTTGTAACTTAAGTTGACCGAATCTACATGAGTCATAATTCAATAGTACCATCTTTCCTAGATAAAAAAAAAGAAAAAAAAGAAAAGAAAAAAAAAGAAAAGAAAGAAGAAAAGAAAAGAAAGAAGAAAAGAAAAGAAAAGAAAAAGAAAAAGAAAAAGAAAAAGAAGGAGAGAGGGAGAGAGAATAAATGACCTGGTTAAGGCCTCCTATCTCTGAGTGAATCCGGGGTAGGTATTGTATATGGGTCTGTCACCTGACTTATTGTCAGGTGAAACAGTGAGGGAGAGAAGGGA